ATAATATAATTTTATAGACGTATAGGTACACACCTATTACTATTATTATTATTGCATAAAATATATATGTGAATTATGAACCGGTTATATTTGTTTTCGTTTTATGCAAGCGACCATTTTTTAGACAAAAATATCGGTATTTATTTCATATTTGGTATACCTATATGTATAATGTATACACACATAATATTGCAGGTGGACTTTCAAAAACCTAACTCTAACGGGCTAACGTAACAAAATGTTCAATCCGTTCGGGTACTAATATAATAAGTATATGAGCAATAATTGATGTGTTCTCGATTCGCATATTAATATTAATCCATACTATATTTTCAATACAAGATAAAAATGTTAAATTATCAGTCATTATTATAGTCACTGCGATCGTTCGATACAATGTGTATTTAACTAATAGGTATATCTACCTGCTACATAGTACATAGTATGTAGCTTATCCCTTTTTAACATTTATACCTAAATGCACACTATACAGCTTTCAGTATAGCAAATAACGTTCTAAAATACATGCTCGACGGTTGCGGAGTAAACATTGACGAGTTTTTATTTTTCGACAGATTTCCAATTCACTTTTATTTGCTTTAAACAAATATACTTTATTTATAAGAAAATTGTATAAACCTTGGTTGTAATTTTTTCCACTGAATTTGAAAGCTTAGGTCAAATAGGAGGTAAAAGTTGTCTAATAAAATGACCTTACTCTACAATGGACGGTGACATACGTGCGTCAAATTTCAATTATGTCTGAAACAACTAGTCTTTACTTTAATGTTTTAAAGATAAAATTACTAGATAGATATCTTTGAAGGGTAAATATTAATTATACTATCTATGGTACATGTATTAGGTGTATTATATAATTACTAAATTAATTAATGTTTCAACAACCATTTAAACATTATTAAAATAAAAAAGTGGTAATACAAGTGTTACGTGGGAGGAGTGATTAGAATTTGGAAGCAACAAGTTCATTAGTTTCAAAAATCAATGCCAAGTAAGTTTATAATTCATTCAAGAATATACCAAGTTTAGAGAAAACCACATTTACTCATACTTTGTCATAACTTTTTAGGCACCTATATAACAACTAATGCTAAAAACTACTGAGCAATTAAAAATAAACTTTCTACGAAAGATCGTATATAAATATTGTAAGTAGACTGTGATTCGAACGTCTCGGTACCTAAAAAAAAGAGGATGGCGCCATGCTGTATAGCAGGTTTTGAGAGAACCTCGTCATTGATTAGGTCACTGTAATAATGTGACGGGTGTGTACAATTTGTATTCAATGCGTACGAAAAACGATTCTGAGCAATCCACCTCTATTTGTAAGGATATTTTATAAGTTACTTAAATTACTATAAGTAACTGCACGGTAAATTAAAATATTAAACTATTTTTTGACAAAAACATCCCATATAATAAACAATAATGATAACTTATTAAATGACCGATGCAGGACATGGAGTATAAATTATAGATCGATGTGAATAAGACTAGTGGTATAAATGACTTACAATTAGTTTTAATATTTTATAGAATATAATAATGAGCGTAATGGAGAATAATTTCGGGTCTCAAAGATTAATAATTTTATATCGTAATTTGAGTTTATAACGTCTAAATAAAAACAAAGCATAATATGTAAAATTTTCATCGTTTTCAAACTTCTGTATTGGCAATAGAACAACTCATGATGAGATACTCAAACCCGCATGGTAAAAAAATTCATCAATGGAGTAGTATTTTTTACACAAGTTAATCAGGAAAAAGGTATAATTTTTAAGTTTTAAGAATAATTATTTGCAAATGTTAGTGATTATGACGAATTTCATCACACTTTGAACTATAAATGATTATAAAAGAAAGTTTTTACTTTGTATTTCCAATATTGCTGCAGCAATAACAACTTTATGAAAAATCTTGTTAAGCTCTATTACTAAAAATTGTATTTTATCAACAAAAATAAAAATAAATAATTAAAAATTTCAAATGTCTATAATTAGGAAGCTCAAAATAAGTCAAAATATTTTGAAAATTACATCATGTTTAGAAAATGTTAATATAAATATTTTATGAAAATTGCAAATACCTATTATATCGATAATTGGTGTTGCATAATATATTCATATATTTCGGATTATTTAGAAAAGTACTGGAAATTATCTACTTTTTACCCCCCACAGTACCAACAAGATTCAATATGCTCATTAAAGTTGAAGATTGAAGCATTTTAGAATTTTCTAAAAAGATGATATTTGGAGATGAAAAGACATGAAAAATACACAAATATCATTGTAAAACAATAACATTCATCGCTAAGCTCAGGATCCAAATGCGATAAAAAAAAAATCATTAGCTTTTGGTTTTCGTTTAACATAAAAAATGTGTTGACTTTTAAACACACTATGCATACATTATTATCAAGCCAAAGAATCTAAATAGCAAATTTATAAAACTAAACTAATATCTAACATGTGCCTATTTATATAATTACACGAATACAAAAATGGAAGTTGTTTTAAGGTTCTTGCGTGGCACACACACACTTATTAAATTTGTCTATATAATTGATTTCAGATATAATTTGATATTAAGATTTACACAAAAATCCTTTCCCTTATTTAAAAAAATATATAAGTAGTTATTAACGGTAATTTCAACAAAATATAAATATATTTATTATTTACAGTTATTTAGTCGTGAGAAACGACATATATATGTATATAGACAAATTGCATAATTTACATACTAGTGGCGGGTATGGTCGTGAGCATGTAATAAGAACTCATGCGTGTACAAACAAAATCTTCTGATTAAGCAATCAAGACTTTTTCAGTCAGAAAATATTATCTAATTAATTTCAGTAAAAGCTACTTCTAACGATTTGATCAAATACAACAATTATTACCGAAATCGATGTTTTTATTCTTAGTGTCTTCTCCAAGTCTCAACATGGTTTAATGTCGAGCATTCAAACCCAATATTTTTACATTCACCGATGCGACGTGTAACGGTGTAACCCTTTGGTTTTTGTGACGAACGTTCAGCTTCATATACTTATAGGCCACTGGGATTAAAAATGTTTATTCATTTCTAAAATAATTATGTAAATTTATGAAAATAGGTAGGAAATTAAATTAATTATTTTCAATTCATGTAATTTTTATTAAGGGGATTTAATCCCGGTTTTCCAGTCGTTTACAAAAAAATATACGAATCTTATGCGAATTAAACCAACTGTCGTTATAGTAATCACTAATCATTAATCAGATAAAACTTCTGAAAAGTATTTGAATTGCCTCGAAATTTAAGTAATCAAAAACAATTTTTCCACTTTTTAAATTTAAACTCACAACCCTTCAAATTTGATTTTTTAATTTAAAAATTTTGAAGATTAAGGATTTTAAAATATTGATAATATTGATACAAATGAATTTAAAATGTAAGCAAGTTAAGTTCAAGTAAACTTCATGACTAAGATAAATTCGGTTTTAGAAATGTTATTGGGTAACTAGGTTAGCCAATACAATTGTCTAAATATTAATACTATAAGACTAATAAACAAAAAATGCACAGTTTGACACATATTGTTGACATGTGCGTGCAAGTATGGAAGTGATTCACTATTTATTTTACACTGCAGACACACACTTATGAATAATGATCACTAAGTACGCATTCAAACATCACACACTTAGAAAATTGTTTATGTTGTATTTGAACTATTTAAAAATGATCGATTTCAAGCCCCCGAGGACTTCTCACCAGACAAACGTACAGCATATAGTTAAACTTGCGTTTTGAAGAACCAATTTTAAATTCTTAGATTTTAATATTTTAAAGTTTTAAGGTACCTAACTGGTAAGAACATTCTGTGTTTATACCATGTTTTAATTTTTAAGTGAGTTATGAGTAGATACTAAATACTGTATTGAATTAGTATAAACACAGACACTATTATATTGCAGTTAACAGCACAAATTGGATCTACTGAACAACTGAACACAAATTTGATGTTGAACGTTTATAAGATACACAATCGGGTGAGACGTCCAAATAACCATTTTAATAGTATATAAATGGATTAATGCATCAAACATTTTACGAGTAATTTCATTTATTACTTTAAATACAAACTTAACGATTACAAATGTAAACAAATTATCTTCAAGTTATGAAATTAAAAATAAAAGTTGATGGTGGCCCACCCACATACTTAATGGCGAAAAAGGTATTAGCCATTAAAACAATATAAAATATTAGAATCATATAATATAAAAAAATTATGGCAAAATAAAATCCTAAAGGGTAGTATAATATATAATAAACCTATAAAGGTCCTTAACCTTTTCTGGGTAATGGACCCCTTTCAAGTATATGGTAAAATTACGGACACTCCCCTTCCCCACAAAAAAAGCCAAGTACAATTTTTAATTTTAATTATTTTAGAACTAATTTTCAAGATTTAGTTACATTGTTGTGAATAATTAAGTTTTTGATACATATAAGTTTCAATATTGGGGTCTATGGACCACCGATTAAGAATTCCTGGCATAAACAAATTAACTTGAGACTTTACCAAGACCTTAAACTCTTGAAAATGTCAGAACTTAGAATACAAATAATATATAACACATATAAGCTATCTACATTAATATAAATGTATGTCAATGACCAATATGTCAATGATTATTTCTTAACTTTTATTTAAACATTTTTAAAATATTGAGAAAAAAAATATACTTCAAAATAATGGGTATTTTACAACATTTATATGAGATTGTTAATACATCTAAGATTTAATTCATTCTGTGGTTTGTTGCATGCAAATGCCTTTTTATTCACATTGGGCCAATTTAAATGTAATATTGAATAAAATCTGTGATTAAATTGAATTAACACTATAGGTATTAACAGTTTCTCACATACAATGGTATTTGTTTTGAAAAACAATCACTCCATATTATGAAAACACTTACCTAATATTGGACTATTATTTTCACCATTTTTTATAACAGGTGAATTTGGTGGTGTTTTATTCCATTCAGAACATGGTTCACAGCCTTCAGCAATACGTGTTGGAGCTCGACAACATTGCCATTTTTTACCACCCCAAATTGATGCATGATATTTTTCACTCTTTCCCAAGGAGTCAGCACATACTTTAACAATTATATCATATTAATTAACATCTGAAGTGAATTATAAACATAAAATCTAATGGTTTATTAATTTATACCAGCTCTTAAAGATCTTATCCAATCAGATCTTTCTTGAAGTTTTTGTGTGATTAAATATAATGTATATGGTTGATCATTTCCATCGTTATATGATATTTGAAATGCATACCCATTTTCACCGTCATTGTTAGTAGTATCTTGAGATAAAATATTTGGTGAAGAAGTAATTGTAGCTGTTTCAATCACAGTTACCGAAGACAGTTTTATACGACCTCGTTCTTTTTTACGCTACAACCAAATTATAAAAATATTTAAAACATAAACAATTTATATGATATAAATAACAATTAAATCTAATAATTTGAACAGAATGGAAATTTTCAATATAAATTAAATTAATTTGAACATTATATAAATATAAAATAACCTAAAATTTGTATTATCATCTAACTAAAAAATCAGAAATTAATAAAATATAAACTTTAAATACTTTAGTTATTTATTTATTACATTTTTAATGTACATAATATAAGAACAATCAATATTATATTAGCTATAACATTTCAAAGTAATTACATTTTTTGAAATTGTAATACAATTTATTGAAAATAATATAATATATTTATTCTAAATTTAAGAATTAAAAAAACACAACCTTTTTAAAAATTATATGAAATAAAATCACTGTACTTATTAACTTTGTACAGCATATTATATACTCAACAAATTGTATGATTTATTTTATTAAATATGAACCATCATTTTATAGTAGAATTTCTGAAATTAAAAAGTAAATGTTTTCATCAATTTGATAGACAGAAATAAAGTTCATTATATTATTTATGACTTACACTACACAAATATATAAATTTGAATTTAACTTTGATTTAGCTTGATAACAAGGTTTAGAGAAACATATTGTTACATTTCAGGAATATTATTACTTATCATACACCTCGACCAATTAAATTTGTTCATTCAGAAAATTGTTAATAATTATAATATAAGCCCTGAAAATTGATTCCATAAGCCATAAAACCGACCAGATTGATGATGTACACAGATAATTATAAATTATTAACTGTTTGTTCTCGGAAACTATGCTCTTACAATATAATAAATAAACAACCAAAAAATAAATAAAAGCTACCTATATAAATTTATTAACCATCCATTGAAAACATAACAATAAAAAGCCAAACAGGATACAATGACAGGGTCTAGGGCACTTACTTTGTTTCACTCAACTCAATGCAAGATAGTGTTTGTAATGAGTACATTGTTATTATACATTTTAAAGCAAACATAAGTCATAAATTATCACGATCAAAAAATAATTCTGAGTTGAATTTATTTAAAATAATGCTTGATAATATTTTAATCAAAGAGTAATTTATCAACTATCAGTAATTTTTTACTCTAAATAAGGAAATTGAGAAGAACAAAATAAGAGAAAATTACTTCTTCTTAAAATTAAATATATGTATTTTTAAGCTGATTGATAAGTGAATAGTACTTTTTACTTTTGCATCTACAAAAAATGTATTTGCAGAATAATTTAAAACTAATACATGATTTGTTTTGCTTGGAATCTTTAATAAACATTAAATAAATGTAGATAACCTATGAATAGGTGGACTTAAAAACATTTGTTTTGAACTCTATGCTTAGTCTAGATATTAATATTCCTCAGAATAAATTGTATCTATACTTTAACACTCTGTCCAGCAAGAGAACGTATCACGGCCCAACAAAGTCAGTTTTTTCCACATCCCTGCGTGACACGGACACCGGGTCATCAAAAACGGTTCCACTATGGCAGAATGTTGTGTGGGGAGGCACAAAATCGACACATTCTCTCGCTGGGCAGAATTTATGTAATTCCTTCTCAACAACAATAAACCACCATAAATGAAGGATTAAAACTCAACGTCAATAGGGAAATTATACATGAAGAAAAAACACAAATCTTTAAATTATTTGAATCACAAACTCACAACTTGCTCATTTAGTATATGAATGGCAGTCATTTTTGAATCTAATGCATATCAATAATAAATTGATGACTTTTTTGTAGTATATCAACTATTTCTTAATTTAATACAATAATATTATTTTGTCACCGTTTTAAAATGTAACCAATAACTGTTAAAACCCTTATAACATATTTAATTATTTAGTGAATATACATGCATATAAGTGCATACATTTTCAATTATTACATAATATTATTGTAACAACATTTACAAACAACATGCATATTATCTATTGAATATATTATGATGTATAAGTGTATAACATTTCCAAAATTGAATAAGTCATCATTATGAGCATATTACATACTAAATAGCAATGATTAAAAAGTGTTATAATGATATATACATTATATGTAAGTAGATCATTTTCAAGAATAATTTTTTACATTTGTAAACTGTACTGAAAGAGCTTTACTTAAATTTAGCAAAAGTACTGAATATCCTATGTAGTACCTATTATAAATTGTTATAGTAAATCTATAATCATATCAACTATTGTTAGCAATTTTATAAATTCCAACTACCTTGTATAAAAATATAATTTGAAAAAAATGTATTAACTCCTCAATTTATTTTTATTTTGTATTATATATAAATGGAAATATTACTCTATTTATATTACTTAGGTGGTTCATTGTTTTTTGGTTAATGATATGGTCCTAATGTTAGTAACAAATAAAAGCATAATATGTACCCTGTTAAGCAGTTGATGTATGTTATGGAGACACGGCAGTGAGCTTCTTTCAATAATTTCCTATGGAATGGAGAACAAATAATATAAGTTATTTTAATATTTCTAATTGTGTATTTATGTAATTTAATATAAAAAAATGACTTACAAATAAAATAGGCTAAAATAATAAATTGTAAAATTAATTCTATAATAAACCTAGTTAGATCTATCCTACCTAATCAATTGTCATAAATGTTCACTGTTTCACCATATTAATTAAAAGTAAAAACACTATATTAATGCATTAAAAAATTGTAAATCTCACTATTAATTAGGGAAGTACCAACTAAATTCATTTTTTTATAAATTATATTTAGGAACTTAATATTTTACTCGTAATTAATGGCAATCAAAAATATTTATCAAAACAACATAATATTATAAACAAGTATAAATAAAAAGTTTAAAAATATTTAAAGATCAATTAACATTGTTCTATAATATAATCAGTAAGCAACAATTCAGTTAGCAAATATTAGTAAAATTAATAAAGTGGATCTCTTAAATATTTGTCTTTTAGCCTATTTTATTTCCAAGCCACACAATTAATATTATTGATTAGAAATCTATTAGTCAGTTTGACAAATTATGAACATAGTTCCGGAACACCGAGCACAAAAAACAAACCTAGTAAAACCAAGGTAATATAAATTTGAAACGGTTCTCAGATAATTAGTGAATAAGTTTTATAAAAAAATCAATTATTTTCGGACCAGTAATCATTAAAACAATATGTAGTTTTATTTTATTTCTACTTTTTACATTAAAAATGTACATTGGTAATTTTTGATTCTAGTGAAATATAGGGCTTAGTAACCCTATTAATGAAATATCGGTGTTCATGCAATTATATATTATATACATATATAATATATATTATGTATGTGAAATAAATAAATGTATATTATGTAAATGCAGATGTTCAACAACAAACAAATCCAAAACCGATAAATTTAGATCAATTAATAGGGACTTACTTCGGATTCAGACTCATAGTAGATTAAGTTCTTGGTCGTCAATACAAACCATCTCTGTTTGTAGTTAATGGGCATAAATCTTTTTTTGTTCTGCGACCGTTTCACCATCAGACCTTGTTTGATGATGTCACAGTCATCTAATTCATCTTTGCCAGCCATCATTGTGTATCTAACAACACACCAAAACCATATAAAAATCCTAATAAGTTTATAAAAATTAAAAAAATTCAAGAACCTGTTTAGACACCCAAAGATTGTAATCAAAATAATATAATATGCACAGATCATAAATGGAAAATAATATAAATAGGTATAGAAATGCATTTTGATTTGGCCACTTCTACACTATTCAGGTGCTTTAAATGTGCTTGGAATGTTATATAAATTAAAAACGTACTTCACACAGAACAAAAGTTAATTATTTTATCATTAGTGTTGCCGATACTTACGAATTTCCGTTATTATTTCAGCCTACGTCTGATACGGGTAGTTGGTCGCGGGTGGTACATCATCTTATTGTGCCGTCCGCGCACGGATTGTCGAGTTTGGCTGCAGCGTTCTGGGTTCGGAAGAAAAATGATATAATAATTGTGAAGGAAAAATAATTAGGAAAAAAAATCAACAGACTAGACGGAAGAGAAGTCTGAAGAGACTGCGGCAGACGTAAGCGGTTGCCTATGCAGGAGGACGGTGTAGTTGGCGACGACGAAGCGAAATTTAAAAAAATAATAATAAAATAAATAAATAATGGAAATAAAACTAAAAAAAAACCGAAAACCAGTTTTCGTATGTATCTTGTATATATAATAATAATAATAATATCTGTTAGTTCCTTAGTGATGAAAGGGTCGGGCGGGGTGAGGACGTCGTGCGTTTGTTCGGTGGTGCTGCTATCACCGCGGCTAACAGGTGACCGCGACTGAAATACTGGTTACCAGGTTGCCACTGGCAATTGGACACTCGTAACCGGAATACCGGATATCCGAGTAGATCATTTGGGCCGCAGCTGATAACGGATCGATCGCCGTTATCACCAATGAATTTCGTGAATCATGATTACCCGTTAACAACAATAACATAAAAATAAATGACAATAAGCCCCATACACGATACACAAACTGAGTGTCGACTCGACTACACGAGTGAGTGAGTGAGTGACTGATTTCAGACTTTCAGAGTTCAGATTTGAGGTGATCCGAGTGCCTCTGCGTAGCGACTGGCAAGTAAGAATCACTAATCGAAATATTTCACTATCGAATAATACTTGACAGAGAACTGAATAATTGTATGCGGTCTTTGCGACTTTTTGTGGCAGTATTATCCGCTAGTCGTACAGGTGCGTAGCGTTCAGATCATATCGCCACCTACAGCAACTTAAAGTTACAACAGTTTTTAGGTAAATCGTAAAAGCAATTTGAATCCAATTTTCTTATTCACACAATCCGAGAATCCCGTTTATACTTAGGTTTTACTGTGGGGAGTCACATTTTTTTTAGTACTGTACAGAGTTCTGCAGAAGACCTTAGATAATCGAGAGTTAACTATACTTCTAAAACAAACAATATTCCATTTTATAAATTTATAAAGTATAACATTTTTGTAAAACTGTTATTACATCCCATTTCAATTAACCTTATGTTATAAATATGTCAAAAAAATTTATTTGAGAATTTATATTTTAAGTACATCGTTTAGTAATGGCAAATAACCAAGAAGCAATGCAAGTCTGTTCCTTGCCTTTACCACCCGTGCAATACTTTCAAAATTATTCAGATGAAAACATTAGACGAGGTCGAGCTTCTAAGCCGCCACCAATAATTCAAGAAACTTACACAATGTTTGGAAACCCATATAATGCTGAAGATAGTATAATAAGACCTTTGGAAAGTCAGGTATGTTGTGTTAGTAAAATCATAATTTAGGATTAAGGGATCGGAGTTGATGAATTTTGCATTTTTTTTTTTTAGAACTTTTAAGATGATACTTTCTTAGCTGAAATTGTGTTTCAATAGCATGCAAATCTAATTAACTAATCTATAATTAATTTTTTTTCATTGTATGTCATTTTTTGACATTTTTACTCATTTCCCACCAGTTTAAAGAAACTTAGCTTCAAGCAAGTTTTTTCCTGATGACTTAAGTGCTAAAAGTTTTGCTAATTTCTAATTTGATCCAATCACTTTTGTGTACGTGAAGAGAAGTTTTTCAAAATAGAAATATTTACAAACTGATAATGTTCGTTCATTTAATTTTTACTTTAAATATGCTCTAATTAGTACAGTACAATAATTTTGAGTAACTTGTACTTTACAAAAAAAAAAAATTATTTTTATTAATCTTAAATCAATATTTGTAATTTTTATGTTATATTTACATTTTTTAGGTCATTATTTAATTGTTTTAAGGTAATCAACTCCCGAGCCCTATTTATGATTATTATAATATTATTTGTTATTACCATGGTATTATTGTGTTTTGGTTGATTGAAATTGAATAATTACAATAGAAACAGTATAAATATATAATATATTTGCATATTATACAAAAATAACCCTAATTTAAAATATATGATTTTAGGGTTTTAAGCGTCTATACCCTCAACATTTTGATAGACGACGTGAATTACGAAAACTTAACCATTCGTTATTGGTTAACTTTCTCGACTTATTGGATTTGTTGATCCAATGCCCTGACTCTCCTAGACGAGCTGAAAAAGTTGACGACATAAGTCTACTGTTTATACACATACACCATTTATTAAATGAGTTTCGTCCTCACCAAGCACGGGAAACAGTCCGTGTCATGTTAGACTTGCAGAGGAGACAAAGAAATGAAACCACAATACGATTGCAAAAACATATTGATAAAGTAAAATTCTAGATTCCTGGTGTTTATAATATTGATAATAATTGTGAACTTGATATTTCTTAGGTTAGCGATATTTTACAACAAACATTAGAAAACTTGCCAGACACAGAACTTGATTCTAAGCTCATGGTGGATACATCCAAAATTGATCGTTTAGAACAGAAAAATGCCGATGAACCTAGAGTTGACAAATGTGTACCTAAAGATAAATTGATGTGTCATCTTATTGATACAATGAATAACAACTAAAAATTAGACAGTTTATTTATCTTTTGTTATTGTTTTATATATTTATACTTAAAATATTTTAAACTAACAATATATTTGTCATTCTTTTACACTTGGACCACTTATGTCCATATATTATACATTACCTTTGTGTATACTCAAATTTGAAACACAATGAATAATTTAATATACCTTTTTTTTTGTATTGATAATAATTGTTTAATAATTGATAACAGTACTGCTAAAATATCAAATCATGTTTTTCAACTATATAATTAATTTTTCTAAAATAATTATTTAATAATGAATTTACGTAGATTTTAGTTTTACATTTATTTTTTCTTATAAATTAAAGTGAATAAATTTTGTTATGGTATTTTTTGTGACTAGTATTTTTTATCCTCATTACAGTATGTAGTTTTATCAATACATTTTAAATAGTACTTATATAGTTGTATCCTATTATTTAGCCATGGTTACATCCATCAGGATATTGTTTTTTTTTAAATTGATTTGTTTCCATTGTGGAACCATATTATATTTTAGAAAATATGATAACGAAAAACCATAGTGTTAGAAGACTGCCCGCAAAACAATATCTTATCAATAAATACCTTACATTGGTTTGTTATGTTGCAAAATATACAATTTTATTAACAAGGAAGAAACTTTTGGTCTTAAAATTATAGAACAATTTTGGTTAGGTGATATATCAATAAAAACTAAACATCACAATTTTAATATACATTGCGGGGAGCTTACACACTATTGCAGTCATCAATCTTCATACTAATTTAATATTAAATATGAAATAGAATCATAAGACCACTTATCTTGAAGAAAACAGAAGCATATAGTTATATTTTTCGCAAAATGTTGATGGTGGTGAGGAGGAGGGGTTGCAACACCTTAGATACCCTCCTTCATGCTACCCCATTGAAAACAATCTAATACATAGAAAAAACTTCTAAATAAGCGTATGCAACAGAAAAAACAGTCGGTCATACCAACACCTGCACATAAGACATTAATTATACACCAATATATTACTGTTAACAAATCTCTAGTGACAAAAATTTTAATTTTACTTATTAATATTTACTCTATGCTATAATTATTGAATTATAAAAATAAATACAATAACAAACAATACACAATGCAATAGATTATATTATAAGAGATTAAATAAAAGTACACAACATTTAATTAGTATCAATAAACATTTAACATTTATCATATATAATTACTTGTAATAAATATATACTGAAATGTATTGTATGGTTTCAATATAGTTCTACAGCTTCAATCAAGTATAATTACTTTATATTATGAATCAATAAGTAAGAGAAGACGAATATATCCATAAATTGGTGATCTCTCATTATGTCGTTTACCGTTAAAATAATAAAAATAAATGTCTGAAGTGGTTTTAAATAATAATGATGCAGTTATCCCAGTTATAGTTGAACATATCACAATAGTATACCACATAATATATTCATATTTTTAAGTTAAGTAGTATACAAAATGGCAGCAGACCGTGTATTCAGATGGTCAATAAATTATTTATAAACAGACATTGAATATACTAAATATAATTCTGATTATGGTCGTGACTGTTTGAAGTTGATTCATCAAATATTAAAAATAAAGGGTTGCAGCTGTTGTAGATAGAAACAATCAGAAATTCAACAAATAACATTAGAAATAGTTACTGTTTTATTACATACAAAAGTTGTCACACATTTAATATAAAAAAAATTAATATAACTACTGCCACTTATAAAAAGTTATGAATATACTATATTATATTATAAGTTCATTGACAATTATTTCAAGTCTTTGCAGTTTTTTTGTTTGTTTTCAAAAATATACTTTTTTTAAATATTTAAATTATGATGAAAATATACTTTCAAATTAAGTAAGAACCAATTTTATTATTTGTCCAAAACTGTATTTGAATCTTAAGAATTAATCTAGAAAGTTACAAGGTGGCTAAGCTTAGTGAATTTACAAAATAATTGGTCAGAAAAAAATTGAATATGTACATAGTTCAATAATACTAAATCATATTATATAATTAGCACTAATACTTAAAAATAAATGAAAAATATTAACATTTAACAATTAAATCAGTAATGTACTTATTATATGAAAAGTACTAAGAACACAGCGTGAAAAAAAATGTTAATGAATTAAAACGTAATTTTTATTAGTATGGTCTCCATGAACGACGATTGGCATTGTTTGTATCAAATGATCTTTTAGCGTTCCAACCAGTATTACTACCACCACGACGATTATTATCTAAAATGAAAATTTTTTGATTTGAAAAAATGTTTATCACAGTTAATTAGTCATGTGTAAGTGGTATAGTTACTATTTGTATTATTTGAGAATTTGGCACTAAATTTATCCTTTGGAGGCTGATATAGTTGTTGGCTATTATTGCTGCCATCGATCCGTTTAGATTTTCCATCCACTGTAATAGGTTCATGTTTTTTACCCTCCTGAATGATTTGAGCCTGACAATAAAAATGATTTATATTTCTTTTTTTATATTTTTTATACTTTTAAGTCTAAATCAAGAATTGCTTACAAGTTTGGACTTAGTCGCACCACCAAGCCAGGACAGGTTGACAGTTGCTTTAAATCTAGGAGGTATATTGAATAACTCTTTTATTAACGTATTTATGTTACAAGCTAATTTCAACCCTTCTAATTTTTTTTCAACAGTTGGATCATTTTTTACGTCTTCTTCTCCCTTTTCTTTCAAGTCTTGCCTGACAACTTTCACAAATGTTTGAGTACATGTTCCAACGTACAATAACCTAAAAATAACAATAACACAATTAAATTTAAAGTAAACTAATAATTACATTTTATTGTTTATTTTACTTTTTTTTAAAATCTTTCTGTCGTTCAGGGTCTTTGCTCAAAAAATCTGGACACTGTTTTCCAAGTTTATGAAAAGTATACAAAAGTGCTTCAACACGATGTAAATCCATATCTTCAACTTTTTTATTGGAATCATTCTCAGGAACGGTAACTAAATCCTAAAATTGGGTATTCACATTAAGTTTAAATATTGTACTCAAGGTTATAAATATTAATTACAGTTTTTATTTCCCTTAATAGCAACTGAATATACTTATACTTTTTCTATTAATAGGTTTTTGAGTCAATTTTTTTGCTTAAGAAATTGGAATGGATATTTAAAAACTTATTATTAAACAAAATATTTATGCAACCTACATTGTTTAGTGCGAATTTGAGTTTTCCTTGCAAAATATTATATGTTCGTTGTTGAATAAATATATTTATGCTAGGATTCTATTCATTAGGAAAATAAAGTCCAAACTCTATACTAAACCAAATAACTGATATGTATATCAGACATTACATCAACAAGTTCAAGACTGATCTAGGATATTATGTGTTAAATGTATATAATTTATGGCAAAACTTTCAAAATAATTGGCTCAGGGCTTAGAAATTGTTCCAAAAATGTTGTTTTAAAATTACATAATTTGTCAAACAAAATATTTTGAAAGAAGCTGAAACTTTTTAAAATAATGAATTTGGACCAGCCTGTATATTATTTTAAACATGCATGAGGTATTATAGATATTTAAGGTTCTTCTATAAACAAATTTGACAATACCTTAATGAACTATTTAAACAATTTCAACTACTTACTAATAGAGCTTGATACACTTGTCCAACTACTGCTTCAGGATTCATCAGTTTACCACAATATGGTACTGATTCTGCTAATGACTTTAAAATAATAAACTGTTTATCGTTATCTTTTATAAGGGTATAGCGATTCAATAATTCACATATATACACAATAAACTTAGTAGATTCCACATGAGCCTGAAATAAAATTATAGTTATGGTTATTCATTCAACTAAAATTTGAACTTTATAGCAAACATTTACCGAAAAAAATGGAATGGAATAATCCAAACAAGTTATGAACCGATTTACTTGATCTAAATCTTTAGGATTAAAAAACTGATCAAGTTCAGCTGTGCTTGCTAAAAGTTCAACAAGTTCTTTTTGTCCCTCTGGTGTATTTATTAGATGAGTCGATGATAAGATAGTCATAAGTGTTTCAAATTCTTCACAAGTTATATTTTGCATAACTTTTTTGCATTCTGCTATTATTAAATCTTCTACATCTTTTTTAATTATTTCTTTACCCAATGCCATTACTTTGTTCAATATAAATTTCATAGAACGTTCCCTTACTATTTCTTCATTTGATTGCATTTGACTAAATATTCCAGTTAAGGCACCTTAATAGATTGAAAAACAAGTAAACACATAGATCATAGATTGTTCATATTGTATGAAAATATTTACCTTTAGCATCAATTTTAAAGAGCGATAATAATGAATTCTGGGCTACAAGTAATTCTTGAGGGTCATCGGCCTGAAGTAACTGAGCTAGTATATCTGCTATTTTAGTCAGGTATTCTTTAGCTTCTTTACACAATACTGGTAAATCTTTAATTGCTTGTTTTCGTATCTAAGTACATATGTGGACATCAAATATTGATTATTGACTAAATATTATACTGTATGAATATACATATATATACACAAATAGATTGGCCATTTACTTACACAAATATCTTCATCTTCACAAAGATCAAGCTGAGCCTCTAATGCTTGAGCAGCAAGGTTTGGAAAATATTTAAAAAATCTGGTTATAAACTGAGATGCAAGTCTCTTTTCTTTTGTTGATCCTTTGACTGCTGATAATATTTCCAAATACTCGGGTTCTTTCTATAAAATATTTAAACACCTAATTACAAGAAGTTAATGGATAGTTTACTCATACAAAATATTACACCTAGGTAATGTAAGCAACTATGTACCATTTCTTTTTTTTTACTGCAACCTATGAATATATTGTTACTTATTTCTTTAAATAACTTATCAGAGTACACCCCTAGAATCTGTTTTAATAATTTTATAATTGATATATTTAGATTACTTAGTTAGTGCAGTAAATATGTGGTGGGTATCGTAAAATGATCTTATGAACAACAATCTAAGAAGCTATAGGTAATGTAATGATATTTCAACAAAACAATGTTTATGAAATAAAGAACCTAACTAAATCCATTTTTTTTAATATTTGATAGAATGATATTTTTATTTTTTGCATCTAATTTAATATAGATAGCTTGATAAATAAGAAAAATTATTCTTATTGATAGGTATAAAATTATAACTATATTTTATGTTTTTTTTTAAATTAATGAAATTTAAATAATAATTAGAAAAGAAATGATAATGAATAAGTAAGAATAATTTGTATTATCTTAAACTTCAAGTACCAAACCTATTAGTATAACCTATTATTTATGAAGGTTAGTTCCTACTTTCATAGCATAGTTATTATAATGTAGAGTCACATAGAAACAAGAACATTAAATATAAAATGAGAATAAAAGAATAGAATTTTGAAACAGAGAGGGTAAAAGGAAAATGTTTGTAGCACACAAAGAAATGTTATAGTTTGACTGCCCTCTAAACCAGAGAGGATAAGCCAAAGAACTGAAGTAGGTATTGGAATGCAGTTGTGTGGCTGATGGTAAATTTTGAGTATGAAAACAGCAATACTTAAGAACCCTTAGGTACACATACTCGAACACATACTATAGGTACATTATATTGATTCAAACCTACAGTATACTGTATAGGGAGTGCATATTTGCATTAAATTCTAGAATAAGTCAAAGAACAAACAAAAGCGACTTTTTATATTCAAGTGTTTTTCAAGTATAAATTTAAACATTTAAAAAAATGTATCAACAGCAAATCATGCTAACCTTTATGTTGACTATTTTACAACAATTTAAAATCACATTTAAATTTAAGTAAACAATTTTACTAAGACAACCATTGTATTAATGAACCAACATAACCATGTTAGACATTCTATACAACAAACTTTTAAGCAACTTTATGAGAAAAAAAATATTACTGAATCAAATAATTTTTGGTTTTAAAAAAAAAATTCTTATACCTAATATTCTCAATTGGGTCAGGTTAAATACTAATATAATAAATAAATTAGTTACAATCTTTCGACTAAAAATAATTTATCTCTAAAATCTTTGGAGCGCAAATACCGGCAAATACGAATGTGACAAAACTTACTTCGGCAATATTTTCCTTTGCGTCGGCTAGTATACCAAAGTATTTGTACATTTTCTGGATATTGTCTTCGGCCTCCATTTTCCTACTGTGCGAGTGATTCCTGTTGACAGACGGTTAACGGATGAAGCGATAATAACTATTATAAAAACGTCTTTAAAGTGACGAATAATGACAGTCGGCAGATACGAATTCTTAACAGCCAAATAAGTTAACGAGGAGCATTAGTGCGGACTGCGGACAGCGGGTGGGTTTAGTGAATCAAGATTCGAGAATTCGGAATTTCAGAATGATAATCCGCGATTTCGTATAGTTTCGTATGTAAATAATAATTATCAAAAAGGACGGCGTTCCGGTACGAGTGGTATGTGGTATGGGGTAGCCACAACGTGTTTAGGTTACCTACCAGTGTCGTAAACAAGCGAAACAAAAAATTATATTATATTTTTTACTATTTAGTACGAAGCGCGGGGTCCCTTCACTACAGAAAATATCATGATTTATCGTTGCCTCGTTGGATATTTTATCATCATCCGAGATTTAATAAACTATAATATTATATTGTTATAATAATTATTCTGAGTTTATTTATTACAAGTGGATCGACATCCGCAGACAATGGACATGTTGGTGGATCCAAAATTCTAAAACGATCGTTTTGATACAATACATTACATTATTGTGCTTTGTTCATTTGTGTTTTCGTTTCAAACTCAATGTTGTTGTTGTGGCAGCAATGTGTTGATTAAACAGTAAACACCGTTTTATCACGGTATGGCGTATACGGTCGTTCTACTGAGAAACCAAGCTTAGACTCGCTGAAGTTAATAGCTACTGCTTACTGCCTAGAGGCAAAAGTTTTGAACCATCGATCTGCCCAATCTGGGTAATGAATGTTCGAATTTGGATTTATTTCTTTAAGACCATCAGTAATTACAACATTCCTGAGAACAACGGCAACGTTGGTTTTTGAGTTTTCCTGGTAAGTTTAAATGTCATCGTTTTGCAATTATTGTAACCGGCACTGGCCATACGTTAGTAAGTTACAACCCATAACTTGATTTACATGTTTGATTTTGATAGGTGCTCAAATGCTTTCACGTGTAACGAATCACGTATTTTTAAATTCTGTAATTAAATATAATAATTTCGTACATGCGAGTGGGACATAACTACCTACCTATATAAGATTAGGGCATCTAACTATAATTTTCTAATGTCAACATTGGTATCCATGAACTCATTGTATGAATAAACACTTATACACTTGAACCTACTGACGAGGAAAACAGTAAACAAATTGTAAGGTTCACTAAATAATATGTATCAAAATCAACTTAAAATAAGAACAACACATTTTGTTTAGCTTCACCAGTCACTTGACATACCAATATATTATATCCTATATTAAAAGAGTTTTTGTCAAAAAATCTTGTTTGATTATTATTAGATCACTACATGAGAACATAACAATAGATACATGGTATACCTACCCATGTAGTTCTAACTTCTGACATTGAAAATCGTAGTAATTGTTTTGTTTATAATTTATTGACTAGTAACTAATAAATAAAAATGATGATTAATTATTAATCAAAATATACCTATTATAAGATATAATCATTATTTAAAAATGTAAAATACAATATATTATATTATTGTCACACAGAGATTTTGTAATTAAATTACAAAAATGGATTACCAAAATCGTCCTGGCGGTAAAACTGGAGGTGGTGGCGTTGCATCATGGACTGAGACTAATAAGGATAGACGTGAACGTCTTAGACAATTGGCTTTGGAAACTATTGACCTACAGAAAGATCCTTATTTTATGAAAAATCATTTAGGTAATTGTTATAATTACATTAAGTAAATAAATAAATAATATTTAATAATGTACAAATTTCCTCAGGGTCCTATGAATGTAAACTTTGTCTGACTCTTCATAATAACGAGGGAAGTTATTTGGCCCATACACAAGGTAAAAAACATCAAGCAAATTTAGCACGCCGAGCAGCTAAAGAAGCTAAAGATGCTCCACAACAACCAGCTCCTGAAAAACCAAGGGTAGAAACTAAAAAGTTTGTTAAGATTGGACGACCTGGGTATCGAGTTACAAAACAAAAGGACCCAGAAACGGGCCAACAGAGTTTACTTTTTCAAATCGATTATCCTGGTTTGTAATTTGTTTTATTTGCTATGTTATTTTTAGTTTGAATACATGGTGATTTAATTTTTATTGTATTATCTATGTTTAGAAATTACTGATAATGTACGACCACGTCATCGTTTTATGTCTGCATATGAACAAAGAATTGAGCCACCAGACAGGAAATGGCAGTATTTGTTGTTTGCTGCAGAACCTTACGAGACAATTTCTTTTAAAGTACCAAGTCGTGAAGTGGATAAATCTGAAATGAAGTTTTGGGCTCATTGGAATACCCAAGCAAAACAATTTTATTTACAATTTGCTTACAAAGTTGAACAAATGAAGCCACCACCTCCAATGAAACCTCCTCCACCTTCTTTACCACCTCCACCACAACACAACATGATGCATCAACCTGGTTCGAATATGATGTCTCATATGTTCCCTCCTCCGCCTATGTATAATCCTGGACCACCTCAAATGATGAATAATATGATACCTCCACCGCCTCAATTGATGGGTTAATAACTTTATGGAAGTAAATAATTGTACTGTTATAGTTTTAAATTTTTTTTTGTCATAATCTAAAAGACCATAAATATTTTTCTTAACTATAAAACGTACTTCAAAATAAATTTAAATTTTAAATTTTATTTAAATCAATTTTTTAGGGTATGTTCAATAAAAGTTATTGGAGTATACAAAATAAAACTGTGCATATATTTTTTACCTGTAACACCTATAATTATTATTTGACTGTAGCCTTATTCTGATTATTCTAACATTTAACTAGTTGATTGTTTAATATTCCCGTGTATCTACAGACAACAAAAATATGCCAAAGTCGTTTGCTATTTGTAGACTTATTTAATTTTAAATTTAAGCTGTATATGTTTTAAAATATTTTACATTATAGTTATGCTAAAAATATAGAACATTAAACATTAAATATGAGATAAAAAAAAGTAACTGATAAGAACTTGCAATGTTATCAAATTTGGAACCAAGAGAGTTGGGAAATTTGTGTCTTAAATTGTGGCCCTCCAGCCATTAGATCAACAGGAGGGTCACAGCTGTGAGGAGCCCATTCTTTTATCAGCTTAAAATTTTAATAGATGGTTATTCATATTTTAATTAGTGAAAAATGTATTACCATTTTTATTATACATAAATCAAATCAAATTATTTTGAGTGTCTATTATAGACACAAAAAAATATAATAATAATATTACACCTCCAGCAGACTTAATCCTGATAGAGCTGTCAGTCTCTGTCATCAGTAAAGCTGAAGCTAAGACTATGTATTTGCATTTCTTTTTCTTTGAGTCCAAATCGATTAACTGTCAGTTATAATAGTGGGGTATCAATATTTTTTTTGGGTAGTGGTTAAAAAAAATTGTTTAGAAATATTAGGTATCTGAAAATGATTTATTAATGCAAATTTTGTTATTATTTAACAATGTTTAGCAAGGTTACAACCCCCTAACCACTCCTGGATACCCCACTGGTCAGAAATATCCATGATTTAGATTATTCTAGTTTAAATAACACAAATTTATTTTTACATGTTTTAAACATAATTATATTATTTGATTTTTAAAAATCTTATGAATTTTAAATATTTATTTATTGAATGTCTATAATTGTTAGGTTATCGGTTGTTTTTCGAATTGTCAAAAATTATCTAATTTTATCTTTGTCAGATGACAGATAGAATTATCTATACATTATTTTTGTTTTTCATTAGTACGAATATTTTTAGTCAGAAAGCTGCGTAAATGGGTCACTAGACATACACTACTGAGGTATTTCGATAAGATTAAACTAATAGCGTTTTTTCAAAATATGACTGCAGTACTGCGCTACTTTACTGGTGTAGATATTTTATGTATCTTAAATTTATTATGGAATTTATTTTTATTTCGCAACCTGCATATAGTGTGGTTTTCGGTTTTGTTATGTTTGATATTTGACGTGAGTGTACTGTCAGTTTCTTGCACTTTGAGGTGATAAACGCCCGAGCTCCTCGTGAGTTGTGACGGCGCGTCTTTTTTTTTCGATCCCTAAATTAAATTTCCTTGTTAATATTTTCTGGTCATTGACCGGTGTCCTTTGATCCTAATCATCAAATTTTAATCCAATTGAATGTACTATATCATACATTCAGTGACTTTTAAGTTTTAATCTTTATTAAACCACTGTAGGGTTAAACCCTGTTTAAAGGGAGATACCACCTACCCACCCACCCAAGCCGGAATAAGGGAGGGGGTCAACCTCTTTTCAAAAGTTCTGTGGTATTTACCCCACTTGCAATACGTGTTTGATGCCACTGAAATACTGAATACATATTATATAATATAATATAATAAGTTCTATAAACGTGTATTTTATTATTTCCCTACGGGTAGTGTGAGTGTGTAATTAAAATATAAATAACAATGAGCCAAATAAAGCAGAAATTTTATATTTTTTATATTCAACTAGTGAAGACGGTAATGAGGACTTTGTCGAATCAATTTTTAATAGACCTTTAAAAAATATTTAACCAATAACAAATAATTATATAATATATGTTGTACACAATTATATTGAAAAAATATGGGGTAGTCAATAAATAATATACCTATCAATGAATCACAGAAAAAAGTCAGACTTCTCATCCTAAATCTACTGTGCTAATTTTATTGAAATCCCCTCTCCACAATCATTATACATTTAAAATGCTGACAGTGAAAATGAATGATATGCACTTATGCCTGTTATAAATATACAATTAAGAATAGAAAACAAATAATTATTCAACAAAGTAAAATATACTCATTTTACTATCAGAAGTCATGATCACTCATGGATACGGTGAACGCTTATTATAGTTCGTTGCTAATGGTAGTTGCGCTGCAGTAACAAGGTTAATAGTAGGTTCCTAACACCATGGCTAAATAACTATTAATTAATATTTAGCTATACCTAATACTAATAAAAAAAGTATAAATATAAACTAGATTGCAGTCAGGGTTTAAAGTGGGAAAAAATTCCAGAGGGGATTAATGTCTCCATATAATTTTAAGCGTTCCATAATATGTAATCGTATGTATAATGTCTAATACTCTAATGTATACTAATATACAATCATAATTCGTTAACGGCCATAACGGGTACACTTATTAACCACCATCAGAGGTAGGGGGACTGAGTACTCCTGCGTCCCCCCCCCCACTTTAACCCCTGATTGGAGTATTATAATATCTGTTACAAAAAAATGTAAGCTCAAATATTTCCATCAAAAAAGTAATACAAAGACACGAGTTAGTTTCCACAAATCACAATAAACCGTAGGTATTCGAAATGTTTAGCTAAACACATCTATATGCGCATATTTGCACAAACCCATCACAAAATAGGTACCTAGCCACCTAGGTGTGTAATAAACTCGACAAACCCAGCCACATAGGCTGCTCGGAAGCCGTAATATTATGTCGATACAAATCTGACGTTCTTTATGGAGTTTTCCGATGTTGGCTTTCGCGTTTCCTAAATTACGCCGTTCCGCATTATGATACATTTTTTAAATTATTAATGTGTTGTATTACAGACCAGTGATTCTCAACCTTGTGGGCCACGGCCACCAATACATACACCATAAACATTTTAATGCAATATTTAATCATAACAAAACGATAGCTAAAGTATTTTTAGTTTACATTATGGGGTTGTAATAACTGTTTGATGATTGTGGCCTCAAAAAGGTCGAGACCGCGGCTGGTGTAGAAGATAAAAAATAATTATTTTCAATTTTGGTAGATATTTTAGTGAGACATCGCTTTTGAAATACAAATTTCGGATAATAATCTTAAAACTGAATTCAAATACTATAAGGTTTCAAGGTTCTTTAAAATAAATATGATGTATGTATATGTAATGATTTTTCATTTGTTTTTATTTTAGCGAAATTATTAAATTTGTAGACGTTAAAAATTCTGAACTGTGGAAACATTTGGAACTCGATTATGTCGAAAAAGGTAGGTATTAATCTATTTATTAAAATTTATAAATATAATATTATATCAACATTATTTGTACTATTATACTATTATTATATATTGTACAGATTGCCACACTGATTATTTTCATCACATTACACAATGAAATTATAATATTAATGTTTAATTATTTGTCATTTTTAAAACCCGTAGTAATAATATTACGTCATAATAATATACGTGGTCTATTATGGACTATTATAATATTTTCAAATACTTTGATTTTTTAAACCATTTAAGAGGTGTCTTGTAGCGATTTTTTCAAATGAGAACTTCCTTGTTATCCAGATCATTTTTTTGAAAACCAAAATTTGAACAAGTAGGTAGGTAGTTCACTAACTGTTCAACTGTAAATACTAAAGATAATAAAAAAAAAAATAAAAAAAATAAAAAACGGTCTTACAAAAATGTATAGTAGATGTACACGTGCCTTGTGTTTAATATTTCAATCTAGTGTTAATTCTATAATTTGTCTAATTATAAAATGTTGAATGTTGATACATCGAATTTTACTATACTTAGGTAATTTTCAAATTATTGTGGCTTCCATATTTTCCAAACATAATAACTTAGTATACCTAATGGACCTATAATAAATTATCCTTAGTAAAAACAAAGTTAAATTACTCAAAAAACTATTAGTCTGAATTAGATAGATAGAAATTTTGAAAAAAGTTATTAGCTTAACAATTTATTATTAACAGGAGAGTAGGGAGATTCTCATTTCAATAAAATGAGCTTGTACTACCACAAGGATACAATGACGCTGTTCTTAAATTATATAATAAATCGAAGTATCTATTTGAAAATATGTTCCTTAAGATATACAAAGTGATTCATCAAACATGCTCGCTCCCTTTTTTCTTCAATAATGCAGTTATTCAATATTTGAGTTTTAAATTTTTAAATATACTTTAAGTCCATATTTTAAAATAATTGAGATTTTTTTATGCTACTTAAGGAGTGTCTTGTAGGTACAAAGTTGTGTTTCTATAATGAGAACACCACTTTTCAACTATAAATTATGCAGTAGATAATTTTTCTGAAATGTTTGAAGTACAAAATCAAAATTCGTAAGATCAATAGGTATTTTCGTACATTTAAAAATATTGTTTTGATAAATAATCCATTATTAAAGGAAATATTGGGATGAAGATAATTGATCCCCTTGCAGTTGTACATTTCAAGCAATTATATCGTTCTGTAAAATCTACTTTATTTATCTTCTTGTCTGATAACACTTCTAATTACATATTTTGCTTACTGCACGCAACACGGAGACATAAATACATTTTTTTAGTAGATATACGTTTCTAATGGAAAAATCTATTATCAGAGTTAATTTAATGCACGTAATCCGCGTTATAGACTATTATTATCTTATTGTTTTTATTTTATTCGTCTGAAAATTTCACCATATTTATAAAAATACAATGAAAATACAAAATTGTATAAAAGAGAGAACTGCCTTTATGTAGGTATAGGTAAGTTAATATCTTCCTTAGTTAATTTTAAACAATACCTATACACACACCCATGCAGTACACCTTTATGAACGAAAGCATACAAGAACAACAATTAACAACAAATTACAAACCACTAATATGACGTAATTAATAGTAAAATGTCTTGTTAATTAAGGTTTGTCGGAAGTAATAAATATAGATACCTACCTTCACAATTCGCAAAATTCTCAATAACAGAATAGGTTGAATTAAATTAATCAAGTATCAATTTATGTCTTAATATAAATATATAATAATTAATGTTATGTGTATCTATAAATAAAACTAAGTAGGTATATTATCATAAAACTGTAAAACAATATTGTAAGAGAACATGTAGATAATGATGAATAATATAATATTTATAGCCTATAGGTTACCTACCTAATTATTTTTTTTTTTAATTTATTAATTTAATTGTTCATTGACTGCTGTATCAACATAGGTAATTAAGTTGATGTTTTTAATGTAACTTAAAATGCAAATAAGGTGGCATAGTAACCACTCTGACGAGTCTGATGTACGACTAGTGTCGAGTGTTCCTCGAAAATTTGTCATCGAGTAATGTGTATGTAGATCTCAGGCGACTCAGTAATGACTAATGGATGTGGTCAGATTTGATTATTTGAATTCAATGATAAATCTGAATTATGGCATACAATAAACGATTGTAAGTCAGTCGAATTATATTTCATGTCTTTATGATGTACTAATGCTGTATTACCCGGCGTTATCCAGATTCCGGGGTCCGGGGATGTATATGTATAGTTAATCCGAGACGTCAATCCTCCTACGACGATGGGTGACTATTTTCTTATGGAACCAATTACAACTTACAAGCAGAAGTATACGAATAGGTATGCTGTTATGTATTTAATATTTTTAATAGTGGGTAAGCCACCCTAAAATGACTGGTTCAATTTATTTTCTAATATCTATAAACATTCCTTGAATCGTCAAAATCAGTCTAGTATTTTTTGATTCATTAGCCTTGTCAATATACTTACTGCCTTTTATATTATATTATCTGCATTTTATATAGATAAATGCCATATGGCCATATTTGCTTTTGTGTGTATTTTAACCGTTGCTTCTATTTTAATAGTCTCTATGAAGACGAGCATATGAGACATTTAGATATAACATGACTTATAATAAATAATAATATCTGTATTAGCTTACTATCTATTATAGTCGACCCACCTATCGTTTCCGTTTTGCTTCAGTTGAAATGCTTTCTCAATAATTGTTTTTAGTCAAAATCCGTCAGTTTATTTTTAGTATACATACAAACATTTTATCTACCCATACATATAGGTAGTATCTATATAATATATTATATAAGCAAAAATGTATTTCATTTTTATAAGTTGAAACCAAATTCATGGTTGGTTAATGGTTAATAATAATATAATATAGTACCATGACACATACCTATTGTCATAATGGATATACAGTTTCGTGTGTAAAGTTACGAGGTAAGAATATTATACGATAACCATAATTAATTATTATATGAAGGTTTGTACCTAGTATTAGTACCTTAGAACACAGGTTCTTAACCTTTTCTGAGTCGTGGACCCATTTGAAGCATAAATTAAAATCACAGACCACAAAAAAAAAAATCTCGTAAAAATAACAAATCAATATTCTTTATAAGTTTTTGTTAAAACCAAGTGCCCAACACATAAATATTACTGACTATTTTAATACCTTTTTATATTAAATATTAGTTTTCCGGAATAATAATTTTTTAATCGATGAATGCATCAAATTTTTATCTCTCATCCTTTTTTCCAAAAAATTGGTTTTATAGGCACCTACTGAAAAAAACACCGTTACCAGTATTACTCCTACAGTCGGCGCTCATTTATTGAATACCAAATATTTACGACTTTAACATAGACATTTGAAATTTTAGATGAAATATCTAACCGAGTGTGTAATAATAATCATAAACCCATGTAATTTGTATCAACAAAAAACGACATATTATAGTGATATTGTACTCATTTAATTTTTATTAAAAAGTTGTCTGCCCTAACCATTTTATCGAATTTGTCACAAACGCCTTGAATACCAACCATATGTTCACTCGGCTAGTAGTTGTATGAACTTGGGCTGAGTATCACATATGATATTCACTTTCATTAGACATTTGAAATTTTTTTTTGACATTTGAAATTTCCTAGATATAAATAAATCAATAATCTCAAACAATTTTGAGTATTATTTTTATAATATTTAAGACGAAATGGGTAAGTATAAGTAAAATGATAAAATATATAGTCATTTTTAATGAAGTGTTTTTCCAAAAGTATGTTGGTAAACAAACAAATAATAATATTTTAACATTTACCTAATGTTTAATTCATTATACTTTAATGAGTATCAGAGTGTGTATAACTGACGTACATGTGTCTATGACATTATGTTTCCCGTACGAAAATAAATGAGCAACAATAATATTTTACAACATAATTATTAGTGAACTATTCTATTATTAACCAATTTTTAATCTGATATTGTGCAACTAATCTTGAGCAGGAATCTATAGGTAAGATTAGGAAAGAAATCTGATTTTTTTAAGAACAGTAAGTTATATTATATACTAATATAATTATTATTTTAATTATGTTAATGATTACAGAATTCCTAAAGACATTTTTACTGTTTAGCCTTATTTTATCTCTAACGTATCAGCAAAACGACAGTGTTTGTGAACATTTGTATGAAAACTACTTGAGATCGACTTCCAACTATTTACGATTTGTTTGATTTGAGAAACTAAAAAACAAATAATATGTACAATTAAAAGTTAATTTTAATAATACCAATAAATATCAAGATTAAATCACATAAGCTAAAATGGTTTTAAAAAAAATCTTATTGTGCCTCTTAATTTATTAGTGGATTAAGTAATTGGTGTAACGACTTGCCCCCAAATACTGAACAAAGTATATTTTATATGGTATCTAATGTAATTTTTTTTTCTAGTAATTAATAATTTGGAACAATATTGAGAAAACCAATAGGATGAAGGCTTCAAAAGCAGATATGAATGCTGCAGCGGAAGAAGTGATTTCCAGTTTTTTATCAGAAAAGCAGTATATAATTATTGCAACTTTATGTCCCTTCATAGGTTTATAAAAAATGTAAAGATAAACACAAAAGGGTGGCCCACAATTAGGTATTAAAATTGAGCGTGTAAAACCACTGCAGATATTTTCTGAAGACCGACAAGAACAAGAATTGGCTGAGTATTTGAAACAATTAGCTAAAATATTGTTTATGGTCTTTCTAGAATGGATACTAAATGATTAGCATAATATTAAGGTTATTCAAAAGCAAATCATGTTTCTGTGCCTGATAAATGGCGTACAATAAATGAGAAAGCATCAATACAGATTGGTTCATCGGGTTTTCAAAAAGGAATCCATCTTTGTCAATTAAGACCCCATAAGCTACTAGCTACAAGATAGATCGGGACGAATGACTAGTATGAATAAACAAAAGTGTTTTATATTTTTTTTTCCAAAAATTTGTCTCAGGCGTATGAGCATTATGTTATGTTTTGTTGCCAAGATACCAGGGATATAGATGAAACAGGAGTTACTACAATGGAAATGCAACTAGATATACCCACGTCCTACATATTATATTAAACGTGACAGAATTCCTATGTTGCGTGTCTCGTGTTTGGATAATATATAGACAGCTCACCATCACTTCTTATTATAGTGCCTCAAGGAATCAAAAACAAATATTTTTACTAATTAATAATAATTTATTTATAATAAGGTGGTTTTGATTTAAAGCTAAAAAACACCAAAGAATATTTTGCTCTGATGTATAATATAGGTTTCGAGTATACCATTCGTCATTGAGCAGATCACTGAAATGAATGTGTTCAATTTTAATTCAAGAGGACGCTGTACAAACAACTTCCTCTTACAAGTGCGTAACAAAGCAAATTTTACCCTCAGGAGATCAGGTTTAACTCAACAAAGAAATGAGTATTTTAAAGTTGTAAATTGTTTGTACATCTTCAAGTATTCATAACTCACTTAAAAAATAAAATATAATAAAAAGCCCATGAGATACTCTAGATAATTATCTTACCTTTACATTTTATAGGTGGTCAATTCATTTTGATTTTTAAGCTTACGGAGCTAAAAGTGATCTTCTGAGCCTAAAAAACTAGTTGGAATTTGTTTATTATGAAAAATATTCTTAATAATCGGAGATATCTCGTAAATGCACTCTATATTTTTTTCACTGACATTTTTGTTAACATCCAAAATCTTCCATTTCCGACGGGGTCTTGCAAATCATTTTTTTTATTAACGAGTGATCACGTGGAATCTGAATTTTAAATTGCAGTATAATGTCACCCCTCTTTTTAGAATTGTCTCCGTAAACTGGCATTCCTTCACCTCGTATTATCTTTTGATATGATGGCCTATCAATAAGTATGACAATAATATCAGTTTTTTTCTTTTATAATATGTATTCTAAATAAAGTTTAATGAAATGTGATGCTCTATAATTGTATAGCTTTAATTTGTATGTAACAGCTATAGATATAGGTAGATAACCATTGTATCCGAAATATTATTGTTAGCAAAAAAAAAAAAGAATAACCGTATTAAATAGTCATTTCTATGATGATTAATACATTATATAATCAAAATCTAACAATATTAGGTGTCATGTATAAGTGTTCATTCCATAAATTCTATTGCACGTAGTATACAACGTCAATTCGTCCTTCGTCACAACTTGTAAAATAAAAACAGATAGGTAAATATTTGTTATATATTAAAACATGATTTTACTAACTATAATTATTATCAAAAATAAAATATTATGCCAACTCACGGGTCTGTCATTAACATATTTTAAATAAGTCAGTTAACTTGAATTTCATTTTAGTAATTGCCGAGAACAAATTCTATCGTTCGTACGTGAGTATTACAATTATAATATTAGTATATAGGCTATAGTGCACGGATTTCTATGTATTTTTATTATATTATAATTATTTTTCAACTCATAATTTATGAATTGTACTTCTAAAAGTTCTACATAATATTTTTAAATCTTAATATTTATTTAGTTTTTTTTTTTAAGTTTTTTTATAGGTTCATAAGAATAACAAATATTGACATATTTATTTAATGTTTTATATATTTTTTAATAACGTTTGATAAAACTTAATTTAATAATGACCCTGTATTTCAATATTTACCAAACTGCTCTGAATCTAAAATTACTATTTTTTTCAATATCCAAAGTTATTAATTATAGTGTAACCTGCTATAGAGATAGTAAATTATTCGCACATCACAACTGATTGTTAAATAATTTGTACTTAGATTTAAATTATTAGGAAATAGATTATGTTAATTTCAATATTAATGATTTATTTTATTTAGAATTATTGAGCATAATAACTCAAACATACATAAAACAGTTATTTTTTTTACTCTGATTTATTGAAACAGCTTGATAGAAATGAAAAGTAATGATAATAATGATATTATGGAATTCAATGAATTCAATTGTTCTGATCTAATAAGAGGCCATGTCAAGAAATATTATTGGTATTGAAACAATTTATAGCATCAACAATATCGTTGTAGATATTAAATACATAGGTACGGGTAATAAATTAGATTATCTACTTCTCGAGTATTATTAACTATCCAAAGTGTATGCTTAAATAAATCATGCTCCACATAATAAAGTAGACAAAAATAATTTATTTGAATCAAAACTAGCAAAAAAACTTTTTAGATAATGATATATAGGTACTTACGTTATCACTTGTGTGATATTCACTCTCAGTTGTTTGTTATCTAACGTGTGTACTACGAACTGAACGCCATACAGCATTTCTTCGATAGTTACAGTATAAGTGCTTATCAAATCGTGTCCTCTCCTCACAAAATGTTTGTGTGGTAAATCATTGGTGATAAAAACTATCGAACAATTTTAATTTATAATATCAAGATGATAACATAAATAAACAATTTATAATATTATAGGAAAACTATAGGTTTTGACATTTTAGGAATAGGTGTGTGCTATAATTTAATAAGTAATATAACTAGTAACGCATACACGTGTATACAGATGTAATAAATCGTTTTTATTTGTACATATATTTACCATTCGATTTCATGCTTCAAGTATTATTTTGTTAAATTACATTACTATCTGTCGTAGAAAAATGTTTAGAATCATGCCTTAGCTATTAAAGACTGCCACATGGGAGATAAAATTATAGATTAATGCAAAATAACAATATAAATATATTATTATGGTGTATATTCTTAAAATAAAAGTTGGTACTAGGTAGGTAGGTACATGCATAGTTATCGCTTATCATTTACTTACAACAATATTATATTAGTCTTGAGCTTTTTTTTTTGTTTGATTGAATAAATAAAACATAAAATAGGTTGTTGTAATAACTTATAAGCAAGGCTCGGGACTTTTGTTTATTTGACATTTGTTTATTTTTATAGTTTGACATAAAATCTAGCACAGTGCTATGGAAATGTATGTCATATTACAACACGTTAAATTATGAAATTTGAAAAGGCTTCTTTTTTTTTACAAATATTTTTTTAAAGAAATGCTTGTTTACAGTTTTCTGATTATTTTTGCTTTAATACATATCTATTTCTTCTTAACTATGATTTATGATGACACGTGTGACGTGTTACTGACCAAAACTGAGAAATTTGAGTTAATTTCTGTCTTTTTTTTGTTCAATTTAAAGCTATCACTAAAATTAATTTTTCTCCTTTATATCATATTTCTTAGAAATAATCACCGAATTCGTATTTGCTTGCCTATCTACTAATCGGCTAAATTAATACAATTGTTTTACTGTTAGAACATTTTTTCAGAAAATCTATAAGAAGTATAATATTGAGAAGTTAAAACGTTTTAAAAAACTCAAAAAGACTAGGTTTTTGATTTTTTTTAAGGACTAATTTTTTTATGTTTCTATTATTAAACTATAATATAGAAAAAAAATGATGTTGATAGTTTCTTTGATTATTTTAATATATTTAAGTGCATATTCGAGTGCTTATAATTTATAATTAAGTATTTAAGCACCTACTTTGATGATTTTAAGTGCTATAAACCCTGAGTCCTGCTAATAAGTAGCAACAAATGCCCATACAAGTATTTAGTACTATTTACCTACTTCATCCTCATAAATGTTTATATTTAAAAAAAAAATGATTTGATCATTTTACTAATTAACGATATCTACGAAAAATCATCATCGTTGTTTCTTTCTTTAAAAATCATGTTTAGATCTTAGTTTGATAATAGGGAAAATTCGTTTTTATGTGCCAATATATTTATAATGTAATTTTTAACCTTGATTTAAAAACGTGTTATTGAAGGATTCAACATCTTCTTAGCGAGTAGACTAAATTGTTATACTTTTTTTTCTGAAATTTCTAACAGGCAAACATATACCAACAACTATCATAATTGTTCAGTATTCATACATTACATCATACTGAAATATTTATCTTATTGAAGATTTATTGTCTTAAGCTCCTAATTATTTTATATACTGTTATAAAATAATTAAGAGCTAGTTATGTGAATCATTTCTTGGATATTGAATTCTTTATTTAAATGTCATATAGTAAAAAGGAAACTTTAAATTATGTGCCTACCCATTAAAATTTACATCAGTGCATGTGAATATTCCAAATACAATACCCGTTAAAGAGAAGTGGGTCCCAAATAGATGTAAAAATCCTTTCTTTAGATATCTTACAGAATTGGGCATCAAAAATTCGTTTAACATACTGATTACCATAATAACAATAAAAAAATAAATTCTAGAAATTGCATAATTAAATTATAAAATTTCCTTAGAAATTAAGAATCATTTTTCGTATAATTTGTTATTGAATTCAAATTTAACACTCCGAACTCACTCATTTCCTCAATTGATAGAGATCACTCAAAACATACAATATAAAAGAACAACTTTCCCAGTTAATAATTTAAAAAATAATTTCAAATATTTGTTTATACCATTTAAGAAGTATTATATGGCAACATAAAATTCCATTTTTCTGCAAATAAGAATTAAGAACCATCCATTTTTATTGTAAATTGTTAAGAGGACGATTTTATATAGTCTTCGTTATTTTACATTTAACCAAATTTTTTAACATTTGAAATTAAATGGTTTAAAAAAATGGTGAATATTATGTATTTTTGGCAGTTTCTTAAGTACCATAATATTGTGATGATCTTTGTTTTAATTTTTAATTTTTTTTACTAGAAACATAAATATCATAAACATTTTACTGTCCATCTATACGTAATGTATTCCTTAAAATGTATAAAAACTAAAAAGTCTAAATAAATAAATTTACACAACACATAACAAATAAATGAATTTGAAAATAATATGGTCTTTACACCTATACTTAATAATTCCGAAAATAGACATTTGAATAAATATTATTATATTATTTTATATAAATATAATAGTTTAGTGGAAGGGTGTATATGCTTGACGGAGATGTACCATGATACATATAATTTATAAAATGTAAAAAAAAATCATGGTTCATATTTAAGTACCTATATTAAAACTTTCAAAAGTAAGTAGGAAACGTATCATTCACTAATTTGAAAATTATGTGTTAACGATTTAGGTACTCAATTAAATTGTTTGCCTACTTTAATATTAGAAAAATATCATATAGATTTATTGCTAACCATCTATTTCTGTTTTATATTCTTTTGTACAGTTAATAAAACGTTAATCTATATTATAATCTTAAATTATATTTCCACTTGTAACGATTTTTCTATAATCATAGATTAAGTCACATACATGATACATAGATGCTAAATATATATACAGGTGTCATAGAAATACCAGACAACAAAACAAATGATGTTAACTAAATGTATGACAAAAATAATGAAGATTTTAAGGAGACCAAATAATTTAAGAGCTTATTGGTTTATTATTATTTAGTTTAATAATACAATACTACAATACTACAGGAACTTAAGTATCAGGTATCACTTACTTAATGAACTTACTTACGGTTCTTCCATCTGTTAAGTTGTGAACAATCTCACTGTTAACCGGTAAACCTTTAGCTATTTTTAGACTAGTAATACACTGTGTTCTTCCATCACTTTCGGGGATATTAATTTTTTTTAATGCTCCATAAAATATCTACCAAATAAATTGCACAATATTATTAAAATTTTTTTTTTTTTTTTTTTATTGATCTTCAGCTTCGGCAACTGAGGCCATTAGCTGTAGGTTGTGGTACTGTAGGGTTTTTGGGACTGTTGGGTTACTGTAGGGTTATGGAACACGTGTGTGTTTGTTTGGCAGAATTTCTAGTGGGCACCCGTAGGTTTCTGCCATACCCGGTTGGGGGATGGCGGCCTCTCTCTCCAGACACCGTGACTGCCCGGAGAGAAGTGCCACCCGTGACCGAGATTCGAACCGGCGACGGTGCGCGTTGCGACCGACGCGTTATCCACTCGGCCACTCCGTCCCCCATTATTAAAATTATCTTAATTGCAAAGACTAAAACTTTAATAATTTTTACACGATTGGTTGGCTTTGGATGATATGTAATAGGTATATCTATTACATTTATTTATGTATACAGTAGAGTATTGATAATTCAACCCTTGATAACTCGAATTTTTTGTTGCCCATTGAAGTGTTTTTAAGTTGTGTTTGAGCCTTTGAAGTTTAACTCGAAAAATAAATAAGTTGAATTTATTTTTATCCCTCTTGAGTTTTGAGTCATCTCTAGCATATACGAAATATAGGTAATAATAAATGTATTATATTGTTAGAAATATCTCAAAGCAATTTGAATCTGATATACCTAAAACCTTAATTATATGGGAGTTATGTACCAACCATATCATATAACTTCAGGCCCATACGGTATTAAATAAAGTGTTTCAATTTTTTAAATAATTTGTTACGAATTTGTACAACACCCTCGTACAATTTAAAAATGACGCAAAATCTACTTAATAATATTTTATTACACTTACTTCGTTCAATGTTAAGTTAATTGGAATCTTTTTAACCTCTAATTTAATACCAACATTTATAGTTGCCTTCCTGCTTGATAACGTGGATATTATATGAGTATACGGATTTGTGGATCCATAAATTGACCTTAAATCATAAAAAAAAGTAATATTTTATTATGTATAATATAGAAATACACAGAATCGTAAAAAAATATTAATTTTTATATAATTAATATACAACATTATTTTTTTCATAAAAACTATTATAGTGCTTCCTAAATATTTTAAAGAGTAAAAGCTACAGATTGTATATGTCTTGTCACTAAAATTAGACCCATAAATTGAAAGAAAAATTAATTCCATTATTTTTGAACAAGGTGGTTAAGCTTATTATTTTAAATATATCAATCTTTTGTACAGATTACTGTAAATAAATACTCCTTTGATCGAACTTTGAGTAAACATTTATTATTTAGTATAACATTGATTATAAAATATAAATACTATAATTATAATCACTTATATTATGTAAGTGCATAAAAGATTTTAGTTTCTATGAAATATTCTTTGTACCTAAAAATACTTTACTTGATTTAATATAAATCGTAAACACATGTTAATGCTGTTATTTATTTTTAACAATATGTTTGTTATAAACGAAAATACAACAAACTTAGGGGCTTAACGCAGTTAACACCAATCACCATGATAGTTATTAATTATTATAATTGTAGCATGTAGGTAGGTATGCTTGTTTTTCTTACTTGTACGTTAAAAAAATATCACCATGATACAAATACCGTCTAAGATCTTTTTTTTTATCATCAAACACGCCAAATTTTATGGCCTCAACCCCAAATTGATCATGCATTGCACGCCAAAAAGGATCACTAAGAACGTCATAAGCTTCTAATGCAATAAGCCTACAATTTGTTTCATCTTCGTTCAATTTTTCCATACCAAATTTATGTATGATTTTTCGAAATCTATACGTCATATATAATCAATATTAAATGTATTGGAATATTTAAACACATTTAAAAAAAGGCAATATAAATTGTGAATAACGAGGAGTTAATCCGTTTGCATTATTGTAATATTTTATAAATCGAAATTAGTCAATATAAATTACAATTATTATATAGGTAAGGTACATACGCGTTTAGTATATCAAAATTGGAAGAGGTTCTTTTTATGCCTAATACACTATAGTAATCAATATCCATGATAAAGTGTTACTTCATACAAAAAAAACAATGTATTTTTTCAAAATAATATATCAAAATGTTTGTTATTGATGTTTGTTATTAATATGGTATCTAAGCATATATTATATTATAAAATTTTAATAAACACGCATTTATACCAGAAATTCAGTTGTATAACTATAATTAGGAAAATAGGAATCTAAAAAGAATAGTACACAGACGAATATTAAATCTAGATTTATCTTAGATGCTAAGTATTCATTTATTGGCAAGACTAAATTCTGTATCTATGTAATTCATAAAACGTTCAGCCTTAATTATTATTAATATTTATCAAAATATTTATTTCAAGAATAGTATAAAATTGTGTATATTCAAATAGCACACGAAAGTAACAGATGTGAGAGTACCTGTGTTTGGAAAAATTATCCAAATGCGTTGCCTCAAGTACACCATTACACTATTGGCAGAGATTATAAATATATATTGTTTAACAATATATTTGCATGGAAGTATCAATAATTTTGGATATAGGTACACAATGTGTAACATGTCATGTAGGAGAAATGAATAATGATCGCTTATCGTTAGCTATTGATTCGAATTTTATATCGTTTTAGCCCTTAGATGTCATCGAAATCATGTAGTGGATTGGCTCTACGGCAATTTCGTTTGAGGGGTTGTGTGTTTATAGGTTTAAATTAGTCGCTGCAGATGATATGTTCATTATTGTATTGAACAATTAATAGGAAGGTTACAACTACACCGTATTTGTATTATTGCACTAAAAAAAATTTTAACTTATCATAATATGTTTTGGAGGAAAGAACACTTACAAGCAAGGAAAACTGCGTCTGGAAGTACACTGGAAACTAATTCCTGGATAAATACCATTTTTTTACGAAAACGTTCTTTTATAATAATTCTTATTGAAAGTCCTCGAAATAAACGTGCTCAATATTATGATCGTTAGCTTTTCTGCAAGTCGTAGTCAATTTATCAAATTTATTATATTTAAGATTTCTTAAAAACATAATATATGTGTTAACACTTAATGATGTTTTTGTCATTGCATTGTCTGTCATTACATTCTTTGCCTTATATAGTAAAGTAGTTTACAATACTATTATTCATTTTATAAAAATATATTTGTAGATTATAATTTTCATTAAATATTAGTTTTTTCATTGGAGTATTTTAATATAATATGATGAATGAATCGATTTCTATAATAAATTTATTCGTAAAATAAGTAGATAGTAAAGATGATAATAATAATGGAAATGTAATTGTATACCATGATCTATCGATAAATACGTTTTGGGTCAAACAACGCATAACCTATTTAGATACGCACAAAATATCGTAGGTTTGTAACATGCGTAATATCTAAATAAAACAATTGTTAACAAACTGTACGTTTTTTTCAAAATGTTGGTAATTTTAGAATCAGAACAGAGCGATGAAGATATATCGTCTAATTTTTTTATGGGGGTTTTTTATGAACCTACATAATAATATTATATTTTTCATATTTTGATAATACTTTTTTTGTTTGTGTATATATATTTTATATCACTGATCACCCCACTCTTTAAACGTAAAATATTAGAAAAAACATTTTTTTTTTTTATTAGCTATGCTCTCCTATTTCAATAAATTTATTAAATATTTAACTATGATTTTAACCCAAGATCCATTTATGACTGAGATTCATGAACAATCACTAAATATTTTAATGAATCAATATAGTGGTCGCTTAAGGCTTAAACGCTTAAATACGATTTAGTGGCCTATTATTTGTCTATTCAACTTAAGTAATAATTTCATTAATCATTTTTTTATGCAACTCAGCAATAATGACGTAAAAAAGGAACAATAGTTATTCTATGTGTCCCGTTTAAGAGACGATTAGACGAATATAGACAATTTCAGTGTAGCTTTCTGTTAGGCAATGAAGATAATTTTTAAATTAATTACTTTATGCATTATTATAATGGACGTGTAATATATTGACAAGGTTGACCGTGAAATGTGAATATAAATTAATTTTAGTCTAATGTTCAAAACTAGAGAAACACGTTTGAGCATGCATGTATTAGCAGAATTATTATCCTATACCATATAAGATTAAAAATAAATCCATTTACCTGATGACTTATAATGAGTAAAATGCTATGACGTGAATTAATGTTTAAATACAAGTTTATTAGTAATTAAGTATTACAATCGTTCAAGCTCAAGTATTCATTAAACATAGTATTACATTTATAAGTATGAGTAGTATTATAAAAAGCAATTTTTTTTGTAATTTAAAATGTATGAAATGTTAAATTGGTATGTTTTAAACTTAAAAATTTAGTATTATAAGGTTCCCCCATAAGCAGCTTATGCTGAAACCAAAAATCTAAAAAATATATTAACACATTTATTTTTATAGTTACCTATATTTAAAGTTTAAATTCAGACAAAATTATATATTTTTTTAACAATTTATAACGATTTTAGTTATTTTGTATTGTAATTCAAAAATATTATGCGTTGGGACTTGAAAAATTTACTTATATTATTTTATTTTATGTACACAACGATATTTTGAAAACATTTAGCAATTGCTTATTTATACCGTTTTATAATTTACGATAAGGCGGTATATTGACTCATAAGTTAATGACAGTAATACTTGATATAAATATATTATACTACTAGAACAGGTAACTAAAGATTGATGATATAATTAATACAGTGTTTTTGGAAAAATTAATTCAACTTACCCTGATACTCATATCGAAATAAATTACTTTAATAGCAGTAGCAAAAAAAAACATATAAATCATTATATTTAAATAGTAGTATAGACGGACAGCCGACACGCCGTCTTCGCTCTGAATAGTTTTTTGTATCCCATGATTTATCATTGAATTCAAATTTAACACATACACAATTACTTACTCAATGACGAAGTAATCTTGACACCTACTGTACACTGTATAGCAGAGAGGTTACCTACTTTCCCCTGTTTGTTTATTTATTTTGTCAGTATAAATAAAATATTTTCATACAAATATTAAATAATTATTAAGAGTAGTAGACCTAATTATTTTAAATACAAATTTAACTATGTTTGTTGCACTTATTGAAGTTATTGTACAAATTTAACATTATTATAATTTAGTATACCTATTATACCTAAATACTGATACCGATATATTATGTATGATGTGTGGTGTAGACTGTTTACCGGTAGAAATATACAATGCAATTCTTTTAGATAAACACCCATTTTATATAAGACCGTTTATTTTTGAAGTATATTTGGTTTATATTTTGAAGACAATTTTGAAAAGAATTATATTTATTTTTATCGTTATCAGTTTTTTAAAGTTTTCACCTATACGAAAAACAATACATATTTTATTAGATATTAATTCACTGCCTAGAAAATTATTTTTTTTTAAATTTAAAATCAAATTTCAAGATTTTTCTAAATTTATTTAGAAGAAACTCTTGCTGTTTTTGTAGAATTAAAAAAAAACATATTCAAAATATATTTATATTGTAAAAATCCTTGTTCTTATGTCTTACAAGTTATCAGGTGACACTGCTGAGCGCCTTCCTATTTCAATCGTAAATGTTATTAATCTTTAGTAGCTATTAAACTTATCAGACCATATTTTAGTATTGTAGGTATGGAGTGTAAATATATTTTTCTTTAATATAAATTGTTGTTTTTGTAATGACATACAGTCTTACAAAATGAGTGCATTCGAATTTATTGAGAAAATTACTATTTACGTTTGTCTATAGAAAAAAACCTGTTGCCTGTGTAATATCAACGTAGGTATAATGATTATAAATAAGCCTACAAACATAATAATTGATCCTTAAAATATAGCGCTGTGCATGCAACCCATTCGATTGGTAACAACAATTACAATCAATTGAATCCGAGTTTACCTCACAGCACATTTTGCGGTTTCTACGCCTATAGTCTTATGTGGGACACGGCCCATGAGGGGTCCACCAAAATAATATAATACGCACCAGCCGCAAATCAATACGCTTCGATCATAAAACCGTAGGTATCCATTTGACCACGCAATCTCGTGAAATATCTAGTTGTTATATGTTTCAGTGTTGAGAAAATTTGACTTACGCCCAACGAATACTTCTCACGGGAGACTCTTACCCACTTGCATAAAACAAATAGGTACGAGCATATATTATACTGTGCAGTAAATATTGTCAAGAGGGGATGATTGTTTGTTATTAAATCAAATGCACTTACGTTTATTATTTGGAGGTTTATTTGTTGAAAACTAGGTACGCGGCCGTGGTTATTATATTATATTATATTGCTGAAATACCTACCTATCAATGTTTTGTGTCCGTTCCTGCTTCTGCAATAGAGTGCGATGTAAAGCACTGCATGATGTGTGCGGGAACTTACGCGTGTGTTTGGAGTTTATTTCTTTTCGCAATAGTAAACCATACAATCTTCGCCAGGGTTATAACTTATAATGATACATTTGTTTGGCTGTTGACGCTCTCGGCATTTGGTATTACGAGACATGTTCTATTTAAACGATCGGACATTATAATACACATCGAAATATACGCACTTGCGAGTTCATACTATATAATAATATGATACATATTCAATAATTTTGTATAAAAATTAGTCAAAATTATTGTTCAATAACGTTTCAGAATTGCGGAACACCGGGATAAATAAGACAATAATGTGATAATATGAAAGTGACCCGAGGGCGACTGTGTGCGCGGAATAAAGTATAGGTAGCAGCATTATTAATTCTAATATTCTAATAATAATAATAATAATAATATAATGATACCACGAAGGTGGCCTGCGATTGAAATATCTATAATTGATCTAAATGATATTATTATGTATTTTTCGTCTAGCCTGTCGTCCCAAATCACGCGAAATATTATTTACGTACGATATTCTGCTGGGTCAACAACATTAGTCGTCCGACTTCCGAACCGGTCAATTATTATTGTTTTTGCGATCGGGGGGGCAGTAGAAACAGCAGCAGCAGGAGACACGCGAGGCGATGCTAGTGGCAGTCCTCTGTTATCAGCCGTACGTACATAGTCAACAGACCGAGCACTTTCAGAGAACATCGCGCTCAGGTTAGTACCGATATTATATCTTCTAATAAATAAAAATGAATGAACCTTTGTTTGTTTGTTCGTCCTAGCTCTATATAGACCCAACACCTATTAGACCATTTCCAATAAAAGTTATATCATAGTATTATGCAGAGAATTAGTGGCGAGCTTCAGTGAGGGTTTATAGCTTCGTTTCATATAAGTAGTTTATATAATATAAGGTGGTTCACACATGAATTTTGTTTTTTCTCATAAAAAATTCAATACTTTTTTGTTTTTATAGTCCCCACCATTAGGAAGTCTTAGAATTTTTAAATAATAGATCAAACTGGTCACTCTAGGGTGGTTTACCGCTATAAATAATACTACAATCATAACAACGGCATATTCGTTTATTTCGGCAGATCGCAATTATTATTGGTTTGAATAAAAAAAAAAGTTACTATCCGTCCCAGGTGGATTGCTCGTCTCGGATTCATCATCCCCCGCCTGCAATACAGCTATAAGTAGTAATGTAATTTAATATGCAGATATAATGATAAAGTATAATATTTTCAATTGTCTATATACGATATAGACGTCAATTTGTCATCAATATTACTTATCATAATAATATGACGTGGTGTGTATGGGTGCGTGTAATCATTTTTTCACATAGTTTGTTTGTCGCTTATACGCGTCATGTCAAAATCGCTGTGATTCTTTTTTGCTTGGACATAGCGGTGCCCCGCGCGTTCGTATGTGTTTTTTTTCTAAACAAGAGCAAAAAGGAATCGTCTATGTTTACAAACTCGATAAAACAAGACGTATGAAATGAAAATAATAAGTGCCATTTATTCACCAACAGACAATAATAATATAGTACTCATGTTTTATTCTCTGCGTTACCTACTTGCATTATGTTATCGAAGTAGGCTGTAACATATTGTTATACCGATGCATCCCGTCAGTATTTATAATACGCCTATCGTGATTCATGGAGTTGAAGAAGAATGATGTTTTTATGTCATCCCGCGTATACTTCACGTAAAACAGTATTTGGTGATATTATGCTTTTTTTAAAATAAATGTTTCAAACAAAAACCTATTGAGCGGTTAAAAAAGACGACAACGATTTTGATACGATCTAGCATCTAAGTTTTCAAAGAACATCAGTGTACCTCCTATTTAAAGGACAAATATTTTCATATAAATGTGATTTTTTTTACATTTTACATCCAAAACATTTGAAGTTTATATTCAATTTGGATCGTGATCAGATATGTATACATTGTGTAAATGATTATCACCCACAGGCCACAATACAGTAATGAATATGGCGTATGAAAACATTGAATACTAACAAGAACTAACAAGATGTTTAAAAATATGACCAATTTGCTTAATACAATATACAACCAATTAAATAATATAACGTGATGTTTTTCACTTCCATTGAGTTCATGATCGATTACAGAGTTTATTTGTTCTGAACAATCGAAAATAATACAATATTGCGTTTTTACAATATTATTATATTATGCTGGAGGAGTGTATAATTAAAATAACACGGATGCTGTGTCAAATTAATCAAATCTTATTGTTGCCTAAGAATAATACATTTAGTCATTATTAAGTAGGTAGCTACCTACCTACATTATATTTGCAAACATTTTTAAGTTAGGTATTTAATAAAATTCATCTTTACTCCTCAAACTTCGATTAAATTCTAGTAAAATAATATAAAATTCTTAGTGTAAGACACGATGATTTATTTTTTGGTACAGACTTCTTAAAGAGTTAAAATGCTTCAAAAGTTTCATACACTAAATCTGAAATACTGTTTTGAAACATGGCCAGGTCATTTATTGTAGATAAAAATTAAAATTTTAAAATTGTATTGAAAATTACCTTAATTATATTTCATTTTAAAGATCAGACAATTGAAAATTGATTCATTAAAATAGTTTTATGAAATATTTTAGTAATATATTGTTTTAAAACGTAAATGGTATAAATTATTGTAATAATACTTACATCTACACATTTTTGTCCAAGTTCCTCACGAATAATGAATGTCAAATTGTTTTTTGAAATTAATATGCTTATCTCAAAAATGAGTGATAAATAAAGAGCATCCACGAAATTGTCATCCCTTGATGCGAATATACTATATTAATATTATTTTATAATACTATATAATATTTACTATATGTTATATGTATATAATAATATATGTATAATATGGAAAATATACACAAAAAAAATGTATAACCATACAACATTTTATTAACTAGGTACTTTCATGATTGAGTTCAAAGCGATAACTCAAAATTACTATTGTGTAGGTAGTAGATTCGATACTTATAAAATAATACAAATAGATTTTAATGAATCATTTTTATGGGTATTATTTTAATTTTTGTAATACTAGTGCATTTAATCGTATTTTTTAAATTTATTTTTCTGTATTTTAGGAACTTTAAATCCGCATCTCCAATATAATTGCTCATTATACTTTAATACATGTTTTCACAGTTTATAATACAATGATAGATAATTGGATTATTATCAAATTATAGAAATATAGTTGTACGATATAGACATGAATATATACTTAAGTACCTAACTTAATAATAATAATAATTATTATTTATTGTTTAGGAAGTGCGCTTATTTTTATTAATTATTGTGCATAATATGAAAATTGTAGGTTAGTAGAGTAATAATATATGTTATAAATTAAAATGAATGAATTAAATCTTTTATGGGTAGGTTAACCTATGGCCGCGGACGCATTTGAGATTTATCCTGTATGGCTACATATCCACCCTTCTTATCGATTTTATAACTTTTAAACAAATTTTGTAGACTAAGACAAAGAAGACAAATAAGTTAACATTAAACCATATTCATTAATAGACGTAGCGTTTAGGATACCAAGCAATCAAATAAATTATAAAAAAAATCATTGAAAATGTGAAATTATACATAAAAAATCATTTTTACTAAAAAATAAAGCAAATTTTAACATATTATATATGTTTTAGAGCTGGTTAAGTTTTGTTCGGACTTACAATTTCCACCGAATTTCTTAAAAATACCATTGGTATTCTGCAGTTATATCAATATTAATCTTTATTTTATTGTATCGATCAATTTTTTAACGATATCAGGTAACTTATTTCGCGTTACAGTTTTGACCACTAAACACATATTATATACATTATTCTAATGATTTAATGTTTTTCCGTGCAACTGAAAAAAAAAATATCAATTTTTTTCTGTCATTACTAAATGACATGGCCTTATTATAATAATTGGAACTTTGATGAACTCTCTTATACCTATAACACTGACTTATACGAACCTTTTATCGGTCTTTCCCAATTATTTATAACTTATCGTCAGCATAGTTATACATTTTGGGCGTTTCGGCACCGTTGCAATTTTTATGAATTGATTATAAATTGATAATTTGAAAAAGTCAAATTATGTTAAATCGAATACGAAGAATATTTGCTTTCAAATCTTAACCATACATTAATAGCGAACACTAAACACGATATTTTTGTTTAACATTGTTCAAAATATACAAAATACATGGTAAATACATAAAAATATACGAACATTTTAGTTTATACCTATTGTAAAATACAAGTTTAGGTACTTTTAACTGGAAAAAATATTACGACTTTGCGGAGGAAGTAATACGACAGCAAGGTACCTAAATATAGTATATTATACTATATAGGTGTGTTGTATTTTAAGGTCACTGTCGACCTTTCCATGTGATTCAGGGTCAGTGTTGAGACGAGCATAATATTGGGCGCGTCACCATCAGAGACTATCGGATATTATGTTTCCCTTATGCCGAGAGTGGCGACCGTCAGCGAGAGCTGGTCACGGCTGCTCTGCCGTTGACGTTTGATCCACTTTCGCCCCCTCACTGTAGCAGCCTCTGACGTCGCTCACATCCATCACGGTGTGATCGCGACCCTGGTACTTCCATGTGGTTTGAAGTGGTGACGTCGTTACCACGGTTGTTGTCGCTAATCTGAAGTCCCAAGAACTCCGTCTAATGCCGCACGCCACGGACGTTTCTCGTAGACTCACGGTTTATCTCCATCTGGTTCCAAGTCAGTTACAGCTGACGACTCACCTATATGAAACGCAGCCGTTGCTATCGATGTGTCTAAAAATGCTTACAATACTTTCTGTTCAGTGCAATTGATGAGTTCAAGTCAATCGTGGACAAGTCACGCAGAGTGTCGTCTTTTCTTATAACGATTTACTTTTTCAAAAAAAAAAAAAATTTTTAAAAACAATTGTGCTGTACTGATAATTACTAGGTTATTGGCCTGTTCATTGTTTAATCGAAAGCTTATTATTTTATAAGTACGTTCGACTCCAGATCTGAAATGAAAATGACGACGTTTCTATTGTTTTCTCATGAATCTGAATTGTTTGCCAAATAAAGACACCGAACATAACATAAAATACCACGAGAAGTACCTGCTGGTTCAAAATAAGATATGACATTTTTTTCAAATAGTGGCGTTGTAGATTATAATATATTTAAATTAGAATTTATTCAGTTATTATAATATTTGCATATTTTTGCACTGGTATCCGGGGTATCACCATCCGGAAAATCATAACAATTTTCAAAATTAGATAGGTCCATGAATATTAGATGAAGATTTTATAGGTAATAATTATTATTGCCATTGAGAGCCAAGGGAACTGAACTTGATATTCATAAACTAATGATTTGGTATAAAAAAATAATTACAATACCACTTTTTAATGTTTATTTTCGGAGAAATAATCGATCGCAGCTATCTGCGTGTAGGCTTGATGTCACACTAGGTAGTTTATAATACACCAAAGTCACATTGAATAGTGTATAATTTACATGCAACAGACATTCAGATAACTATTTTTCCATTTTTTTTATCCCATTTATTGACATTATTTATCTGTTTGTATTTCATGATATTATATACCTAGTCATATAGGTATACATTACGGTTTTCATAATATGGTGTATAATTTATGTATAAATACGAATTATATTGTTTAATTAAAAACAACGTTCTTTTATATCTATTATTGGGCCCTGGGCTTATGAATTGTATAAACAAAAATATTAAACACATTTGCTATCCACCTATCCATCAAGGACAAATGCGACGATTAACCAAGTTTTCTTTAATACCAAAATCAACAATATTATTTAACATACACTGTACTAAATGTTGTGTAGTGTTATGGTCGTATAATACTTCTCCACACAAAGCTATTGTATACATTTCGTATAATAATATTATAGGCTACAGCATTAGCTAAATTACTAAAAAAAACATAATTTATTATATGACATACGATAAAAGTATATAACTATCGTTAATTTAATGGTGTATTCGCAGGGACAATTATTTACAAACTTTTTGGCGAATTCGAAATCACGTGTAATCATAATGATTGTACCACTCACCGATGCTCAGCTGAAAGCGATTCAAAACTCTTGTCCAAGATCAAAGGCCGAGATAGATCAGGATTTATCCATCGTCAGACACTGGTTGGATAAGCAGCCGCATCTGCCCAAAACAAGTAAGTACCAAGTTTACAACTATACATCTCGTTTTTCATTTATTGAACCTCTCATAACGTCTAATTAATGGGTGACAAACAGACTGCAAGACATTTAAAAGGCTAGCTGATAATATGTCAAGTGGAGAGATTATGGGGAAACTGCAATACCAAACTTATTGTTGATCACCGAAAGAAGAACGTCTTATTGTATCTCACGCTTATAGAGATTCCGTATTTTATTTTACCTAAGCAACCGTCGTAATAATTTAATATGTTGAATTACGCATTTAGTTTCGAGTTTGGTAACTACTGTTCGGTATAGGTACCTAATAGTAGGTATATTTCAAAAACACGGAATATTTATCTCCAACATAATTATATTATTACGGTCATCATAGTTTATATTGTCAGGATATTATCAAGGTGGCCAATATAACAAAATATGTGCATAAATTATTAATTAATCGATGGTGGTAAGTTATAGTATAAGTTACGACTCACAATAGATGTTTAATAGATACGTACTACGCAGAACTCGATTTAACACGAATCCACATATTTTATAAGATCGACAGCCGAATTGTATTTATAGAATTTAATTAGCATATATTTTTTATCGCTAATATATAGGTTTAAAATAACAAATATAATATATAAAAAAGACTCAAAAATGAAGGTCATTCCTGAATACTGCTGGTATCGCCTTCGACAATAAGTATACCCAGTGATTCTAAATGATAAATATAACATTACACTTTGTGTATTAACTTACATAAGTCATCATTAAACATATGGTATGGATTATCAATTTTACAAGAAATGTATCACTCCTGTTACGAAACCAATTGGGTGTGAAATAATTATTATTAATGATATTTCGGTGGAAGGTCGGATCAAACATAACATTATGGTCCATTCAGCGTGTACGCTATTCCAATTATTCCCTCTCGGATGAATAATAATATTATAATTTGATATCGAAAGTTTAACGCTTGAAGACAAAGTTGATAATAGGAATTAAAAAATCCTAAATAATAGGTATTTGTGTTACTAATTATTATGAATAATAAATTGAGTTCTTTATTTTTTATTTTAGGTGATGAATTCATAAAAAAAGTTTTGTTTAGCTTAAAATACCGCACGGACAAAGTCAAACTCGTGATTGATAATTACTATACAGTTAAAGAAGTATTTCCTCAAATTTATGGAGATCTAGATCCAACAACAGACACATTTCGAAAACACGTGGAAGCAGTGTAAGTATAGAAAGATTGATGTTTCAAAATAATAAATTAACATCAACTACATATAATTATATTATAAATTATATAATTATTATTTGTTTATAATAAATTATTAACTACCAAATATATTATGTAGCATGACTTTTGTGTATTTCAATCGGCATAGGTATGCAGTATACTATTTTAGTATAGTATTGTTAATTATGTTAAATGGTGTGAACTAAAAACGTTAATCACCTCAGTAATTTGTGTTTTGAATAAGCGTTAAAAGAATAATACAAATACCGGCTTATGGGTTTTCTGGTCATTTTCATTATTGTACGAAATGTATTATTTTAGTTCGTAACAACGAATTCATACTCCAGTTAAATGAACTCGAGCAGAACTTCTTTTGTTTTTATTTTTATTTTTTGATGCACATATGAGTCACGATTTATGCGTGTTTATTCCAAACACCGAAAGGAACGTTAATAATCGTGGCCCAAGGTAAAAGCAAGAACTGACAAACAAAGATGGACTCACAACTTGGTTCATCTGTGTATGCTTATAAGTTATGTTATATTATTATAAAGTATACAAAAATGTTAGGTAACTCTCTCGATTTTCTCGTTTAACACAAAAAAATTAACTTAGACAATACTAAAATAGTATATACAGAACATTGCTGATAAAATTAATTAATTTTTAAATTTTTTGATTTTTGATGGATTGTATAATTTGTTTAAAATCAAAAGCATTTTAATTTGTGAAAAGTATAACTTTTTCATTAGTCGTTTTGTATATATTTTAGTCACATGTTTCCACTGCCCAAACTCACCCCGGACTTCTACAGAGTGCTTTGTTACCGGATGGCGACAACAGATGCGAAAGCTTTTTTTCCTGATAGTCAATTGAAACGCAACGAATTAATGTGGAATTGGTTGTTTGATGAAGACACATTGACGTTAGGGGATGTTTGGATATTTGATCTAACGAATATGGATACGATGGCTCAATGGGCTCATTTCAATCTCAGTTTTATGAAAAAAATTCTCAAAATAAATATGGTAATTTTAATTCTATTGATCATTAAATCATAGATATAACATATAAATAAATAGTAGATAATTTCGTTTGCTAATACAAAATAAACATCCGAATAATAGCTTAGTTTTTTAGATTAAGCTATTGCTAACAAGATTTTAAACAGGGAAAACATTTTTATAACTACCCCGCTATCACAATATAATGTTTTTTTTTACAATATACTTAGTGTCAAATAAAGTAAATTAAAAAATACTTATTATGCTTAGTAAAATACTTTATAATAATATTACATGATAATGTTTTTTGTTTGATTAAAATATAATATTGTATGGATAATATGAACATAATATTTTAAAATATTACTAGACAAAATTGGTGGTCTCATTATGGTGCTATAACTTATATTTTTATACCTATTATCGGATTTTATTTCAGGAAGCGAAACCAGTGAGGATCAAGCGAGTTCATTTTGTAAACATAGCGCCAATAGCCGAAACCTCACTTAATTTTATCAAACACTTTTTCCCACAAAAATATAAGAACAGAGTGAGTAAATATAAGTAATATTATTACACATTTGTTCCAGTGATTTGACGTTATGAACAATTTAGGAGGACTATCGTTTTACATTTATTTCAGATCTTATTTAACTCGACTTTCGAAAGTTTGCAAGACCAATACCCAATTGATATGTTTCCAAACGAATGGGGTGGTAAAGCTGGAAGTATGGCTGAACTGAGTCGTAAGTGTTTTTCAAACCTTGAACAGTACTATTTTTGTCGTTTTACATTCGAATTAAATTTCTCTGAGCACCTATGGTACTTACCTGTACAGTACCTATTATATTATACAGTGTGGTTTTTTTTTGAAAATGTTGATGATATTTGATTTTTTAATAAATATCATATAATCATAGATACCTACGTTTATATTTTATTGCAGAACGAATGCACGAAGAACTCATAAAACGTAGAACTTGGTGCGTGACAATGGAAGAGTTGAAAGCCGATTCTAGTAAACGGATTGGTCAATCTAAGACCGCGGATCTGTCGATATTGGGCGTCGAAGGAAACTTCAAGAAACTATGTTTCGATTAAACGTATCGAGTCGAAGACAAACAAATGATTTTACCTATATACAGTGTGCATTATGATGTTGTTAAAAAATTTAATTTTAATTGTGTGATTATTTTTTGTACAATGACGCAATTAGATGCGATATTATGGTTTATGGTTAGAGAATCAGTGATCTGTAATTCGAAAAAATCTCTCTGTACTTACTTAAAGATAAGGTATAATATTATATAATGTGATCAATCTAATTTCTCCTCCCTTGTATCATAGATTGAACTATACTATTGTACCTAAATGTATAATATACTGTACATTATTATAGTTGCGTTTCTGATTTTGTTCTATACAGAGTTGTAAAATATTTAATTTAAAGTACTAATGAAATGATGTTTGTGACAAAATGTAACCTTTACGCCTTCTGTAATCTACGCACTAATATTTATGCCTGTTTCTATATGATATCATTATTGTTTCTTATTTTATTTTATTCAAATCCTAAGAAATTAGACTATTTAACAATTTTTCATTAAAAATGTTACTAAATTTGTTTTGTAAAAAGGTCTTAATTATTGCTTTATAAATAAAATAAATTCTTGAAAAATAAATAAATTATTGAAATAGAATAAATTTATTTTTAATTTAATTTACTTAGCATTAATTCATGATATCACATCTTTAAAATGCTTAAGTTTTATAAATTACTATTTTTTTTTGACATAACTATTTTTTACACGGAGTTGGACGGAGTATTTTTGTTGGGATATATATTTTATACCTACCTATAATATTATATACATATTAGTACATTTTAGTATTTTAATTAATACTAATTAATAATTTATGTTATTATAATATCTATGAATTCCATACATTAAAATATTAAAGATTTATTATCATCCATAATCTCTTATATTTTACTATATAACTTCCACAGGACTCAATGGAACTGTCAAATCTAGCGTTACTATTTTCTAACAGTATATAATATATATTATATGAGTCCATTGCGGCTGTTCAATTAAATCGATAAATCGAAATTGTTTTTAATTAATCGATTTTTTTGTTTAATTGTGTACACCTAATCATAATCGATTACTAAAAAAAATTATAATCCAACAACTCTTGATTTTTTACCTAATGATTGTGCCGTAGGTACACCTCTATAGGCCGTATAACATATATTATATAGAGTATTATAATAAACATAATATTATAATACACATTATAATTATAAATGTATATAATATAATATATTATTATTAAATGTATTCTATTATGATAAATCTATATATTACTTTGCTGGCCAAAAAAATTTTATTAAAGCATTTAAAAATGTGTTGACAACGTAATAAAAATCATTTAAAACCATTTTCGTTTCTTGGAAAACATTATTAAAATAAAGTTAATAATACAGTTTTTTCAATTAGTTTTTAATTACATCTCGAACATGACAGTCACGATTAAATTTGAACAGTTGATACATGTGGCAATAGATGCCGAGAATGTGAGTACTTTTTAAAAATATATGAGCATTAAATATTAAATAATGATCAACAATTTTTCAGGGATCTATTAACCAACATTTGTTAATCAAACTCCTCGAGTTTATCGCGAAGAAGTCCAACATCAATTCTCTGAGCGTCAATTTCAATGAAAATGACAAAACTGAGGCCCAGGTACTTAACATCCTAATGTACAATATGCTCGCCTATATTATAGTATCGTTAAAAAGGGTGTCATTTGGTGTGACGGGGTGTACTTTGGCACTCCTATTTTTTTGCGTTTTTGGCCTGTCATACTGTTTTTTTAATGATGATCACAGGGGCGTACCAAAGAGTTTATAGGCGGGTCCTATAGACAATGGATGGAGCTACTTTGATAATTTTCTGTGTCTAACATAACCCCCCCCCCACACTTGTTAGTTATTTTATAGTGATTGTGGTTACCTGAAATCGAATGAGTGATGGGGGATATGTTGAACACAGTTCAGTAACAAACAATATACACGTAGCTCCAAAGTATATGATCTAAGGGCAGGCCTGTAATGTTTGACCAACCCTAAAAATTGATCCAGGACAACTTTTTTTGTTATCTTGTCTGAGCTGTTTATCATTAGGCTGTTAATATTATGTTTTTATTATAAAATAAGTAAATAACATATTCGTGTTGCAATACCGATTAAAAAAAAAAATTCCATTTCCATTAATTACATAAAAGATGGTCAACTGGGTACCACTCCACCGGTGGTGACTATCCTATTGTCAAGGTGTTCCTCAATAAACACCTTTATACTAGAATAGGGATGGCAAATCCATGGCGCGCGTTCCCGAGGTGGCATGTGAAATGATTTTGTGGGCACGCGAAAACTAACATTTTTATACTAATACATTAATTTTACAATAAAATTATAGTATAACAAAATATAATATTTTTAATATTTTTTTCATGGCACGCTCTAAAAAAAAATTAGGTTATTATTAATTTTGGGCACGCAGTGTTCAAAAGGTTTGTCATCCCTGTACTAGAAGATACCCCTCTCCTCTCAGGGCTAGGCCAAGGGAGTTGTAGGCTAGTCACTACTGTGATTACAACTTTGCACATCGTGTACAGTTAATTGCAAGTGCATCATTAGTAACTAATACGATTACATTTGTCATAGGTTATACTTATACTGTTATGCATAACCACAGTCTACAGGAAACGTTGTCTTAGTTGGTGTAATATTTACATTTTTGTCGTTATAATTGCATCATCTGCATTAATAATTCTTCAGTCTTCTGTCGGTTACTTGTGTAGGTACTCATGGTTTTACCCATGTACCTTGTCTACAATTCTTTCATAATATCGTCATTATTGTCAGTCTATATTACGAAGTATGATATGCTTATGATATTATTGTGATAAAAGTAGTTTATTTTACTATTAGGCGTTAGTACTACAGTAGGTTGAATTAATGTTTGTCGAAAAAAATGCATTTGAAAATATCATTGTGTGTATAAAATATGATAGTATATATTAAAGTTTCATGTAGGTACCACGAATAATATTTTTAAATCACAAAAAAATAACTAAAAATATTATTCTTCATTTAACTTTATAGGTATATCTTATAATTTCCTCCAAATTTGAACTTCAAATATTCATAAAAAAAACTGTGTTTATACCTATATATTTTATATTTTTGGTGAAAGTATGATTTTTTTATGAAAAATCTTCTTTGGAATTTTGAAATGTTTAATCCTTAGCTAAATAAAATTGTGCATTTTATAATTAAAGTGTTTTATTTGTTTTTTCTTTACTTAGTGTTGCAAATTTATTGAGGCGTGTAATTATAAGAATAAAGAAGAAATTATACCGGGAAAAAATGGTAATATTAATAAATAATTCATTTTCAAGTTTTTTGAGCTAAAAAATTTCTTATGCCTATAAATAGTTTTAAAAAAGTAAAAATATTTTTAAAATTGTTTGGTACAATGAAAACGCCAATGTAGACATTCGGTTAAAATCGTATGCACTTATTTACAGTTATTATTTAAAAATAGTTTTGAATAAAAATTTTAGTGGTTCTTTATTTTTTATTTGTTTTTACTGATTTTTTTAATCTTATTAAATTACTAATACAATTTGTTTATTAGAAGCGGAGTCTGTTGAAGAGATAGATAATAATGAAGACAATAATTCTGCATTGGTAAAATATTGTTCAGTCTGTTAAATCATATAAATCACTATGTTTTTTTTTTGTTTAGGGTTGCGATTTTGAAGCATTGTCAGAGAGAGATGAGATAGAGAGCATTTACAGACTGCCTTCGGAAGGAATAATTTCGGAACATGGTAATATTAAATATATATATATTTTTTCTTTACTATTGTGATCAGGCATCCAATTGATGGCACCTTGCTGAAATTTCTTATTCAGCTTAACATGCAGATATGTAGCCTGGGAAGCTGGTCCCGCCTCATTGGATGTATTAAAAAATAATAGAAAAAATATTACTTATATATATTCATGGCTGGGTTAGTTGACTAGATTTTTAGGTTAGAACCTAATCTTACACAGTTTGTGGAACTTATTTATTAAGTATGTTATTTTACTGAATACAAATTAGTTTCCTAGATACATTTTAAACGCAAGAAATAGTATTTATTTGTTTGTTCTTCAAATATTTTAAATGCTTTATATGTATGTGTTATTTTTTAATAGATTCAATAGAAGAGGAAAAAATTTCAGTTCCTTCAACTTTGAATTTGGACCAGTTTTTAGAAGAAAAACACGAATATAATATTCAGACGTCTGTTTAACAAAATTAATTTATATTTTATTTACAATATTATACTTGTGATATATAATAAAAAATGTTTTATAGTAACGATCTACATGTGATAGCTACTCTTATTGAACAATTGTATGGTAAAATCAGAAAAATCAAAAGCGTGATTAAAGTACTGCAAAAAAGCATTAAGACATGTGTAAATAATTTTGTTTTTGAATTTAATATTCGGAAGTAATAAAGTATATTGAGTATATTGTCTTACTTTCAGAATGTAACTGATTCGGATGGATCTCCGGAAAGTGAAATGGATGTATTTAAAGAAATCGCTTTATCAGACCTGGGTTCGGCGTTTGAGATTCAAAAATATGGTTACGATGTAAATCATTATAACATTTAATTAGCATAACTGTTATTTGTTATTAGGATCATCACTATATACCGTTCTTAATCTCAAGTATTTTCGATTTGTTACAGCGGTCAAAACTAGACGAAAATTTGAATAAGTTGGATATCAGTGCTAAAGGAGATATGTTTAGAGAAATATTTGGAAGAACACAAAAGAGAAAGGATTTGTATTTAGGGTTGTCAGTTGGAAATTTTAGGGAATTCGACTTAGAATACAGAACGAATTTCCTAACTATCCACTCTTTTTTGGAAAAACACGTAATTTTTTTTTTTTTGATTTAAGCTTCGGCAACTGGGCCATTAGCTGTAGGTTGTGGTACTGTAGGGTTTGGGACTTTTGTGAGGGAAACACGTGTGTGTTTTTGTTTGGCAGCATTTCTATTGGGTACCCGTAGGTTTCTGCCATGCCCGGTTGGGGGATGGCGGCACTTGTTCTTCGGTCACCGCGACTTGTCCGGAGAAAAATGCCGCCCGGTGGCCGAGGATCGAAGAGCGACCGGCTGCGTCGCAGCGGACGGGTCAGACCACTCGGTCACCTCGTCCCCCTATTGTTTTTTATTTCTTTGTATCTATACAAAAATAAATCACATAATATAATGTTTGTGTTGTTAAATGTAGAGAGATATGTTTAAGAAGATTAAATCAGAAGTTAAAAAAATTAAGATGCATTATTTAGATAAAGAGGACTTTTTCGTATTTAAAAAAGCGATATCAGTGTCGCATAATAAAATGAAAAATGATATCAAAGAATACATTTTAAAGGATCCTGAAGCAATGGGTATCGTTAGATTTTTCAAGTAAGTAATACGTATTATAACTTATAAGATATTCAAATAATTATTTAATTTATTACCATTTTTTCATGCTTTAAATATAATGTTTTGAACAAACTAGGAATTAATATGTACAATGCACAAATCATGACATTACAAGTTAATTGATTTAGGAAAAAACATTAAATAATATTTTTTGTAACGAATAATAATCAAAAACTAAGATGGGTGTACATAAAATTAAATTATTTATTTGTTAATTAACACATACTTGTTTTATTCAAAAATTATAATTTTAAATTCTTAAAACAGATTATACCACCATCATTGATTTAAATTATAGATTCTAAAATGTTAATTTAAGATAATTAATTATTATTCATTTGATAGAGTACTAAATTGAAATATATGGTACTCGTGTAGTATACAACCTTTTTCCTACCTACCTATGTATAATATTTTGTTTACCCTTATAACTCAAGTCACAGGGTACTTTCTCGTAATAAAACTAAACAAAAATATAACATAATATATCGAAATATTTGTTATATTTTGAAATGTATGGTATGTAACATACTACAGGAGGACCAAATTGTTCCCTTTTGTAGTCAACAATCCATATTAATATTATTAATTATAAAAATATAAATTTTCAATGAGTCTTCTACAGTGCATAAAATAAATACCAAACTTATTGCCTAGTCTGAAAATTAAAAGCCCGCTGTCTAACGTAGTAACATACTTAGGTTAAGACCAAATCATGGGCGATGGGCGATGCATTTAATGTTCCGTGAATGTTTACGAGACGGTACATTAGTACATTAGTTTATATTTAATACTATGAAATGGACTTAGTAAATGTATTTCCATATTGAGTGTATCAATTTAAAATATTACAAGTTGTGGCTGAACTTTCATTGTTTTGTTTTTATAGGGACGGATCGTGTATGTCATGTGGGAAACCAGCCATGATGAAAATTACAAACACAGCTCCACTTTCAGCGAGGAAAGTAACACCCAAAAAAAGTTACAGGTAGACAAATTCAACCGTTTCCTATTTATATGAAATTTTAAACAGAAAATAATTTGTTAATTTTCACGAAAAAATTTTGTCTTACAAAGGCTTTATTAACATTTTTCTATTAAATTATAAATGTTTGATTTTTTTTGTGTGATGGTGATTTTTAAAATAACACATCTTTTATCGTCATTATAATAAATCCATTTTAGCCGTAAATCACGCAAGATTAGAACATCATATTTAAACCGGGCAACTCCCACTGGTCCAAAATGTGATGAGCCAACTGGGGAGGAAGAAGACACCCCTAAGAAAATCGATTGGGAATACAGATTAAAGAGGCTGCAAATAATTCATAAAGGGTATAAAATATATAACATGATATTCTTAACATTTCATCAAATACATTTACGATTACGTCATTAAGATGCTTGTAGTAGGTATAATAGTCATTGCTATAATAGTCAACTAATTTTAATTCAAAAAAATATATTTGAACTCTGATGTTAGGAATTTTTAAGTAGTTATGCTTTAAGACCATATTTTCAAATATTAGATTATCATTGTGGCGATACAGAATCTACCTATTACACTATAAATTATTATTATTTTTCTAGTACTTTGAGCCACCTATATACGTACTCAACTGTTTTATCCCGGTGTGCTCAGGATTTAATTACCTATAAACTTAAGTTAACTAAATTTAACACTTAACTTCATATTTTTATCATAAAAGTCATTATTCATTAAAAAATATGATAAAACACAAGCTAAAATATAAAATAATTTATTTTACCAAGATAAAAAGATACTGAATAGTAAGACGGTTACACTATATTTAACTACTAGAAACAAAATGTAATATAAAAATAATGTGATGCAATGAAATTGATTTCAGAAAGCCAAACATACTAGAGGCAGAAAAGGAATTAAGAAATATGCATATGTAAGTAAACATTATATATGTTAAGTACCAATATGTATTTATATATATTATATACACTATAATACACTGATGTAGGTATACGAATGCCTATAAACTAAATTTAGGTACTAACTACACTCGACGTCATCAGAACCAATCATCGGACATAATAATTAAATACATAATAGCATTTTCCTATATTTTGGAAATGTTGGATAACGTATTTATCTTTTAATATGAAAACATAGGCATGTCTGTGGCAGTAGCACTGTGGGCAGTTTTCTCTGTAGAGAGAGAAAATTAAATTTGAACTTATTAAGCATATAACAAAAGTATGCAAATATAATATTTATGACTGGATTTAATATGATTTTGAATTGCAAAGAGAACCACATTGAAAAACCTTGTGTGTGTATAAGAAAAAAAATATAAGGTTAATAATAACTAGTGTCTAAAACTCTAAACTCTGAGGACAATGATTTTTAATTTAATTGTTACAACACCTCACACGATGGTCTAGACTCTAGAAACGTATATACTATAAATAAAAATAATATAAATGTGCGAGTTAACTAGTACCTAGTTAGTATTTATAGTTGTTTTTTATACACAAAACTACAGTAATAACATTTTATATAGGGTTTTATTAAATGGCTAGTCACATATAGATCAATTAATTATATATATCATATGTATATTGGTGTATATATTATGTGTATGAGGTAGGTATTGTATTTACTTCATATTACAGTGGATACAATTTTTATGATTAATTATATTCTTATATTATATTTTCAGAAAACCAAAGAAAATATGGAGATGTTGACATATTAACTTGCAACCTATGATTATGTTCTATCCACATATACTAGTTAAAATATAAAAGAAATATACCTTTAATTTAAAAAAAAAAATTGTGATAATGCCAACGCATTTTTTCTCTCTCTTTGACCCTCACGCATACAGTAAATTTTAAGTTTTAAATAACGAATATAATCATAATAATTTCTAAAATTAAAGTGCACTAACCTTTTATGAAATTAATTTTGAGTAAGACTATTATCTTGCTCTAGCTAGGCTTTTATATTTTCATTTTAAAGCGAGTTATGATTATTTGAAAAATGTAAATTCCTTGTACATCTTAAAATGTTCATAACTCGTTTTAAAATTAAAAGACAATAAAAAACCTACGAGTTACCCTAGGTAATAATCTTACATTAAACTTAATAAGAGGTCATTCTACTCTAATTTTAGAATGTATTTTGATTACAATAATTATTGCGAACCTAAAATTTGCTATATTGCGAGTGGTCAAAGAGAGAAAAAAGCGTTGACGACACCTAACATATATAGAAAAACATTTGATTTCAATAAATTGTTGTCACAATCGCATTGTTCAATACATGTTGTTAATACATTTCTCTTCTATAGTCAATAACGAACTTATCGTCACATAATAATGCCACAATACGAGTGAAGTATATATTCCCATGTAAATGGCTCAATTCGAGAGACTCTTGATGTCAGTGAAGTTGGCCCCCCCCCCAACTTTTTCCGATTAATTTCAAACCTGAACAAATACTTTGCAAATACTTTGCAATAATTTGAAAATCTATTTTTAGAATTTGAAAGTTTCAAATTTAGCTGTGGCAATCATTTCAAAATTGGGGGCGGGGCAACTTCAAGTAGCTCCCACCCCACATCGTCAGATCGATCTCAATCCGGTGCCAATATTTTGTAACAATTTGCAATTTCTCTTTTAGAATTAGCAAATCAATTTTTTTTTTATTGGCGAACATTACGAGTTTTTTGTCAAGACTTTGAATTGTTCGATTGATTCAAAAATTATGCCAGTTTTTTGAAAATTCATTCAAATCGGTTTTTAGATAAATAAATCTAATTTAAATAAATTTAATATATTTATATATATATATATATATATATTATATTATATACTCCTTTATTTAAATATCCAATTTATAAATTCTTATTCAAATTGACTACGCTAAAAATCTAATAAAACTTTATTATATTAGTGTAGGGTTGACTTATATTAAAGAATACACATTTTTGCTACTGTAAAAAAAGCAACCGCGATGAAAAAAATGTAAAGTAATTAGTTATTTACGACTTTAATAATAAATCATAATAATAATATTTATTTTGATGGCTGCTGTATGTCAAAATTAAAATAATGAATTATGTTTGCTTTCAATTTTGAACTCATTTGTTTATCTAAAAGTTGATTTGGAATGCTTTTCAACTATTTTTTGAATCGATCGAACAAAGTCAAGATCCTGCTAAAAAACTTATAATATTCGCCAATGAAAAAATATTAGTTTCAAATTCTAAAAATGAGTTTGCAAATTATTGCAAATTATTTACAAAATATTGACACCAGTCCAAGATTGATCAGACAATATGGGGGAGATACGTGAAGTTGCCCCCCTGCTGAGTTTTCTGATATTTTATTTCTAGGCCTAGGGTACTAGGCTATAGCGGGTATAGTTTAATATTTCTTGGGCGAAGGCTTAAAAAAAGCCTTAAGTTTAAAACCCTTGCCCCGGCGAGCGCACTTTAATCGCTCATTATAACAGCGTTATAAAAAAAAAATAACTTTTTAAAATAAAAACACTTTAAATAAATGTAGACTCAGCGAAAGCGGAATATGTGTACAAAGATTTAGGACTGCAGACACACTGAATAATTGCTGGATCTTGAAAAGGCAAGATTCCATGTCAATGCAGTAGTTAGTGCACGCTGTTATAATGAGGGATCAAAGTGCACTAGCCGGGGGAAGGGTTTCAAACTTAAGAGGACGTAATACCCGCATGTGTTGTCTCCGTCTTACAAGTGCGTAACATGGCAAATTGTACACTCAGCGGAATACGTGTAACTCCGTTAGTTTAAAAATTAAAGTGAATTGACCTCTTATAAAATCTAAAGGATTATTAACTATTCAACCTCATAGGCTTTTTCTTTTATTTTTATTTTAAAGCGAGTTATAAGTATTTTAAAATTGTAAATTTTTTATACATCTTAAAATACTTATAACTCGCTTTAAAATAAAAATAAAAGAAAAAGCCTATGAGGTTGAATAGTTAATAATCCTTTAGATTTTATAAGAGGTCAATTCACTTTAATTTTTAAACTAACGGAGTTACACGTATTCCGCTGAGTGTACAATTTGCCATGTTACGCACTTGTAAGACGGAGACAACACATGCGGGTATTACGTCCTCTTAAGTTTGAAACCCTTCCCCCGGCTAGTGCACTTTGATCCCTCATTATAACAGCGTGCACTAACTACTGCATTGACATGGAATCTTGCCTTTTCAAGATCCAGCAATTATTCAGTGTGTCTGCAGTCCTAAATCTTTGTACACATATTCCGCTTTCGCTGAGTCTACATTTATTTAAAGTGTTTTTATTTTAAAAAGTTATTTTTTTTTTATAACGCTGTTATAATGAGCGATTAAAGTGCGCTCGCCGGGGCAAGGGTTTTAAACTTAAGGCTTTTTTTAAGCCTTCGCCCAAGAAATATTAAACTATACCCGCTATAGCCTAGTACCCTAGGCCTAGAAATAAAATATCAGAAAACTCAGCAGGGGGGCAACTTCACGTATCTCCCCCATATTGTCTGATCAATCTTGGACTGGTGTCAATATTTTGTAAATAATTTGCAATAATTTGCAAACTCATTTTTAGAATTTGAAACTAATATTTTTTCATTGGCGAATATTATAAGTTTTTTAGCAGGATCTTGACTTTGTTCGATCGATTCAAAAAATAGTTGAAAAGCATTCCAAATCAACTTTTAGATAAACAAATGAGTTCAAAATTGAAAGCAAACATAATTCATTATTTTAATTTTGACATACAGCAGCCATCAAAATAAATATTATTATTATGATTTATTATTAATGTCGTAAATAACTAATTACTTTACATTTTTTTCATCGCGGTTGCTTTTTTTACAGTAGCAAAAATGTGTATTCTTTAATATAAGTCAACCCTACACTAATATAATAAAGTTTTATTAGATTTTTAGCGTAGTCAATTTGAATAAGAATTTATAAATTGGATATTTAAATAAAGGAGTATATAATATAATATATATATATATATATATATAAATATATTAAATTTATTTAAATTAGATTTATTTATCTAAAAACCGATTTGAATGAATTTTCAAAAAACTGGCATAATTTTTGAATCAATCGAACAATTCAAAGTCTTGACAAAAAACTCGTAATGTTCGCCAATAAAAAAAAAATTGATTTGCTAATTCTAAAAGTGAAATTGCAAATTGTTACAAAATATTGGCACCGGCTTGAGATCGATCTGACGATGTGGGGTGGGAGCTACTTGAAGTTGCCCCGCCCCCAATTTTGAAATGATTGCCACAGCTAAATTTGAAACTTTCAAATTCTAAAAATAGATTTTCAAATTATTGCAAAGTATTTGCAAAGTATTTGTTCAGGTTTGAAATTAATCGGAAAAAGTTGGGGGGGCCAACTTCACTGACATCAAGAGTCTCTCGAATTGAGCCATTTATATGGGAATATATACTTCACTCGTATTGTGGCATTATTATGTGGCGATAAGTTCGTTATTGACTATAGAAGAGAAATGTATTAACAACATGTATTGAACAATGCGATTGTGACAACAATTTATTGAAATCAAATGTTTTTCTATATATGTTAAGAGACGTCAACGCTTTTTTTTCTCTCTTTGACCACTCGCAATATAGCAAATTTTAGGTTCGCAATAATTATTGTAATCAAAATACATTCTAAAATTAGAGTAGAATGACGTCTTATTAAGTTTAATGTAAGATTATTACCTAGGGTAACTCGTAGGTTTTTTATTGTCTTTTAATTTTAAAACGAGTTATGAACATTTTAAGATGTACAAGGAATTTACATTTTTCAAATAATCATAACTCGCTTTAAAATGAAAATATAAAAGCCTAGCTAGAGCAAGATAATAGTCTTACTCAAAATTTATTTCATAAAA